CCATTTGCCCAGGGGTTTGGTATCTGGTTTTTGAAGAGATTCGGGTCATGGAAGGTACAGCTCGAGGATCGGACCAGTTCTGCATGCAGGAGTTTTCTCCTTTCCCGTTTTCGTCTTCGTTTTCCGAATGAATGCCGTCATTCGGCGAACCAAACTCGCTCATAGAACAGGCCCCATGTCAGCAGCTGCAATAGGAGTCGCTTGGCCAAACCCTCGCCCAAAATTGGCGGTTGGCTTGGTGGTTTAGACCTTAGGGGGGTACCTTCCCCACTTGGTTTCAAAAAGGCACTGGGGTCCAAGCCGCCGATCCAAACCACCAATTCGGGGTTCCCCCCAAGCCGCCAGGAATTGTTGAAAGAAAGCCCAAGGATTTTGTTCTTCCCTCAAGCCTGAGTCGGCCCAAAGGACACCATGGCCGCTAACCACTTGAAGGGTCGACCCGAGTTGTTTTTCCACCAGCTTTTCCTTTTTTGTGAACCCACAAAAGCTTGACTTGACCATTGAATAGACCCAGCGTACGGGTCTTTGCAATTTGAATCGCCTTGTGGGGTGCCATGAAACCAAAATAGGTCATGGTCAAGGGAGAGTTGAAGAAAATAATTTCCACAAACGACCTTCAGAAAACGTGGGGTTATGTAGCAGGGCTCGGCAGTAATGTTAATTTCGAATCAATCCGGAGGATCAGTCCCAGCAGGCGGCCTCCTCCTTAAGCAAGGACACTTGGTGCAGTTTTGGGGGTTCCTCTGAGGGGACATGCAGTCTTAGGGATCCCACCAGACGTCCTCTGAGTTGAAGAAAAATCCTCGTCAACATCCGAAGTCGACAGTAAGCCCTCAGGGCGCCTAAGATGGCTGGTTTCCCCTTGGCTTCCCTGCAAAGCAAAGAGAAACATAGGGCACCAAGTAACCAACCAGCGGCTCGCTCTTCACCAACCCACCAACCAGCCACCGGGCCCAGGTTTTTGCCCCCGTCGCCTTCATGTTCGCTGCCTTCCCCGCAGAGGCGCCAATGGCGGTGTCCTCCACTACCACGCAAAGCATGGGCGCCACACCCAGCTTCTTGGCCGCCAACTTGTAGATGGCCTCGGTGGATGGCATCATGAAGGGGCCTCTCCCAATGGATTTTGTTCCTATGGAACCTCCCCCCTTTGGAGGGATATTCAATAAGAATACGGCACCCGCAAAGAAATCAGCACCGGTGTTCACCTATTGTAAGGTTCAAAGGTTTTAAAGGGTCACGTAGGCGTATCTTGAAATAGTACAAGGGTGTTCAAACGCAAACCAGACGGAAACCCGCCATTCTTGGGGATCCCTCTGTTGTAGATTGCCTCCAAGGAAGGAATGGGTTGAGAACAAACGAGCGCCCATTTCACCCTGACCACTAAAGTCACATTCCCATCTTGGCCTTGCCAGAACCCCGATGAAAAACAGTTATAAAATAGAATAACCTGCTACAGTGGCCAATGAGGCTTTGGGCGCTGCTTGGGTCTGTGCTTTGTTTTCTGGCCTCGGGTGCCCTTTTGAGGGGGAGAAGTGCTTTCCAAATATGGAACCCTCCTCCCCCCATTGGATTTACAAGGGAAACCAAAAAGGGCGCCCATAAGCTGCAGGTTGTGGTCCCCTCATTTGGAGTCGCCGGAAAGGGCATCCATCCCCTATTCAAGCCGCAAGCCCAAGGGGTGGCCATTTAAGTTTAAAACCCCAGCCCCAAAAGGGCAATATTTTGCAAACAAAGAGGAGGGTGCCAATTTTTGGAACATTCGCCAACCCAAGAAGGGTGGGGCACTTGTCCGTATGGGAAAGCCAAAGTCAGTCTTACATAGTGTTGAAATCCAGCCCCCCCGTACAATGACGCGCAGAAAACCTGATGAAACACCCATTTCGTAAGTCAACTGGATGACTAAACCAATTGCGGGGAATTGTGCCATCTACTTTCAACCAACTGCAATAAGGGGCCAAACAATTACGCACAGAACAATTACGCACAGTATTCTCCCCTGATCATGACTTGCCCTCCCCCCGTGAGCACAAGGTCTAACCTTCTGTTGGTTGAAGTGAAAGCCCACTGCTTCCAAAAGCTCTATGGGAGGATTCGGCCACACCAAAGACCGGCTTGGACGCGGTGCTGGGTCCGGCTTCTTCTCCGCGACCACGTCCCCGGCGAAGATGGTCATCTTCTTAGCCTAGGGTACGGCCCTCTCGGGCATCCAAGCATCTCCTCCCTTGGTTGAATTCCATGGGGTGAAACAAAATTCCTACACTTCCAACCTAAAAACCAAAAAACACCTCGCCCTTTAGGTTACCAAGCCTCTTCCAACAACATGTCCAGGGTGATAAATTTGCTTAAGACCAACTGGTTTGGAAAATATCCTGAATCGGACACGCAAATGGAGTGTTCCATGCTCCCTTTGCCACCAACTGTCTAGGCAAAAAGCAAAGCACTTCACTCAGCTCCCGTGAAAGAGACGGCAAAATCCATCGCAACGCCAACGAGACGCCTCAAAGGACTCAGGGCTAATTTCCCGCTGATTTCTTGTCGATTGTGGTGTGAAGGTGTTCCGGGCTGTTTTCAAACTTATCCTGTACGATAAAAAGCCTTTATTTTTGTGGTTTTGAAGTTTGAAGGGACCAAAAGGAAAACCAAAGCCATTAAACCCCTCTGAACAATCCCACCTTCAACCAAGGAGCGAACTCCGGCAGCATCGTCTCCACCACGGCCTTAACCGACGCCTGACGGGCTTGAGTTGTGCGGGATGGTTACCAGCCTCCACGTTCGTCCCAACATGTGGGTAGTGCTAAATGAGTCGTCTCCAAAAACTTACTACCCCCAAACGAAACAAGGGCGACAACCTGCAGTTTTTTTGACATGCCCCCCAGATTGTTAAATTGCCTATATAGGTTTGGAAGCTCAGCTTGTGGATCGATCTCTGACGCCCGCGGTTCCGAACTCAAATGCGTTTCCACGAGCAAGGCTTCAGTTTGACAGGGCTGACTCGGCAGCCCCATTGCACCTAGCAGGGCCATCTTGGAAGTTAGAAGGTGACGCCCGCTGCAGCAAGCAAGGCCACACACCCCATGGTATCAAGGTTTCCTGTTTACCCATCATGGCCCGACTTTAAAACACTTCAAACCAAGGATCCGTTATGGAGCAGGGTTCCCAGTAATTATCCAACCCCCAATCACATGAATCAACCAGGAATTCTACTTAGAACCAGGGTGTCCAGTATCCAACAGGATCCCTTGTTCTTTTCTGGGTTTTGGCCACTGCCTCGTTGCTGGTGGAGCACACCGCCAGCTGCCACCCCGCATCCGCCGCCGCGCCGATCAGCTCCTGACGCCGTTTCGGAGCCAATTCCATTCTTGTCTTCCCCATAAAGGGGAACATGGAAGCATAGATGGAATTCCAGGGGTCACCCCGCTTCCCCCCAATTCCATTTATAAGGATTTATAAGGAGTGGGGATGGCGTCCCCTTTTGTGATTTATTTAGTGATTTCTGAGCCATGCCATGGATCTCGAAAATTTTGAACAAACATACCCATCCCGTTGTGGCTTCCCCCATGTTCAGTAATTCTATCGGTGTGCTCGTTGAGGGTTCTTTTTTCGTGGCTGTAAGGGGAAACGAAATGAAACCTTGACTCAAACACATGCGACAAAACCTGTCAAACGGTCGGCTAAGTTTTATTTGGCAGTACGACAACCTTCCAGGCATCGGACATATCAAAGTGGGAGCCTGGAGAATCAATCTGTGGGTGCACGGGATCTGCCAACTCCTAGAGCACTAGGCTTATTTGAAGTCTCTGAGGCTGTGATCATGTGAAACCTCTGGGCCCTGGGGCATGCAACGCCTTACAGGAGGCCCCTCGCCTTTCTGGGGTGAAGTGAAACTTTGCGCAGCCAGGGGCAAGGGTTTCCCGGTTTTTCACGAGTTCACACGTTTGGGTGGCGCTCTCTTTGAGTTTAGAGCTGCGGACCCCACGTACGCATGTGCTCAGGCAGGTGTCAGAAGCGGAACCAGCTCCAACAGCCCTTCTGCTTCCTGTTTGCCCATTTGCGCATCAGGCTTCCCACAAAGGCCTCGCTCTGAAACCCTGGAATGATGATTCCCCAGTAAATGCGAACAAACAATGGTTTCTCATGGTTTCAAAGTGGTGCAGGATTTCGCCCACCAGTTGGACCAACAGCTTAAGCAAATAAGAAGTCCAACGCCCTATTGCTCGAGCTGCCACTTTTGGATCGAATCACCCGCCTTGATGCCCTCGCGCAGCGGAAGCTCGCCAGACTTCACCTCGGGCGCGCGTGCAAAGAAACCAGGGCACAAGGGCAAGCAAACGGGAAAAAGAGCCTCTGCAGTGCAAGTGGAACCAGGACAGGACATGATAAAAACATGGCTGGGAAGCAAAGTGAAACCTCAAATGTCTAGCCTTAAGTTCGGTCAGAGCTCGAAGCAGCCGCAAAACTTGCTAGTAACATGTAGGTGTCCCCCCAAACGCCACTGGGGGGGGGGCTCCTGAGGGTTGTGCGTTTCCAAATGCACGGCAAATTTCGATGTGCTGCCCAAGGCCCAGCTAAAATGCAACACATTTACCAGTCAGGGGTAGCTGCCCTTCAGGTGAAAGCCGCGATCACACACCAAAATGCCAATACACGGACTACACTATTGGCAACCTGTGCTCAGCTTCCCTCTGATTGGTGGTTTGAAGCCCGGTGGTTTGGAGGTTAGGTCGGTTTTCCGTTTACCCTCCACAAGAATCGGGGATTCAAATCCCCAAATGCACCAATCCAAACCAGCAGTTAGAGATGTGCCGCACAAAAGCCGGCAAAAAAAACACCCGGAATGTCGGAGAGCTTCCGTTCGCATCCCTCCCAACAAAATGTTCAGATCCTGGTATCACACATCCCCAAGTTGACCTTGCCGCAAGGACCTTGCCAGGTCAACGTTCCTGCCCCCCCCCCCCCCTTCCCCCCCCCCCCTCACCCCCCCACCCCCGCGGGCGAACGGAAAAACCAAAAAAAAAGTGTCGAAGGCGTAAGGGGCGATCTCCATGAAGAGCTTCGTCTTGAGCTCATGTAGCTCCATGATGGCCGGGTGGTCCTTCTCTGGCTCGTCCTGGCCCAATGTTCGCGAGGAACCTACCCCACGGACACGAACCCCACATTCGTGGTCCAAATCACCGTTGACTCTTGGTGGCGCAAGGCGCGGAAAGCTAGCCTGACATTCGTCATGCAATGATATTTCATGATATTCCCACAACCCGTATGAGCCGATGAATACACCCTGAATTCGGCTCCATTTGAGACATTGGCTTCATGAGGGGAACTAGTCATTCACACGCTGACAGCGCCACAAATCACTCCGGCCTTTTCCAAAGAACTGCACTTGTCCAAAACCCTCCTTTCAGCTTCCACGATTCTCACCACGACACCAGAAGATTTCAGGTCAACTCGTGTCAGTCTGCCTCGTAATTCCAGGCGTCCGGGTTATAGTCCTTGAAATATCGGACCATGCGCTCCTGCCACAAGAGTCAGAGTGGGAAGCATGTCAGGAACTGCTATGACTCTATTGGACTGAACGAATGCGCATTGGAGGATGAAATGCAAGCGAACATACATGATGACGCCAGCAAGCACCTTCAAAAACAGGGTCGTGGGCAACTTTTCATGAATCGCAGACTTAAAGGAAGGGAACCTTGGCAAAGGATGGATCCTCCAACACGGCTAGTAAAAGTGATTTTCTTTTAACTGGCAATGTATCCTTTAAGTGCCCAGTAACCTTTAGCAGCTGGTACAGTAGCCGCCCAGTGTTACTATCCTTTAAGTGACCCTGTTAGTAAAACCCATCTCAGAAGATCCCCTTGTGCCTTTGGTTTAGAGAACCCTGCATTCTGTGGGTAGCCAGTGGAGAACATAATTGATCAAAGGGACTCCTGCTAGTGGTGGTAGACCGTACTCCTTTCCACAGGGGTTCGTTAGTTCGTTAGGTACATATCATCTCACAATAGGGGACCCTCAAGTTTGTCAGCTCTCCATGTGTTGCCTTTCAAAATCGCACCAACAAAGGTACCTGCCACAAGCGACCTACCCATATGGCTGTGGGTCAAGAATGGGTACCCAAAATGTCACCCTGGCAAATTGAAACAATAACTAAAACCTGTGGTTCCCTGGTGGTTTAATTTTGACCCATACCCATATCGCAGGGAAAAACGCAAGGAGCCAGCCACAGGGGACCAGAACTCCACCCACTCACTCCTTGCCGCCGCCGGTGGTCAGCAGCTCACCATAGAGCTCCGCATCCCACTCGAAGTCGTAGCCCTTCTCCTGAAAAATAGAAAAGCCTGCGGAGATTGCTTCATAATTCATAGAAAGCAGCTAAAAAGGAAAAAAAGCTTAATACAAAGCAGCCAAATTAAGAAAAAAAGAACGATCTACAAGACAATTGACAACTACCAACTAAGAACAAGGAGTCTTCCAGTCGAATTGTCGGTGTCTTAGATTGTTGATAGCCTATTCTGGAACTAAACGGTACCCGGAAATGAATGGTCCTTTTGGAACCTTGACCAAAGGTCAAGAGGTCGGCCTTACTTCATAGAAACCAGCAACACGGGGATTTCCAAAAACACATTTCGAGTAGAATCTCCAGTAGATGGCTTCTTGGAAAAAATGCAAGACCCCCAATTGAAAGTAGCGAAAAACAAGTTGCTGGTTCGAGGTGGTTCTAATCCAGCAAGTGTTCGACGCTGCTTAAGCATCACCGGACCATCCATTGGAGAGGTTTGGATCTCCATTACAAAATGTTGGCCACGAAAAACATGTTTGAGGTCCCATTGATTTTTGGGAAGCAAAGATGTCCAATCAGTGCCAACATCGCTTTCTGGTATGGAGGTTTCGGATGGCAGCGTGTAGCCCGGATTCAGGTGCAGCAGAAGCTCCCTACCCACAAAACCCGGTGAATACCCGATGCTCCCGCCAGAATTCCAGAAACCGATACCAAGCTGCCAAAAATCACACGCTAACGAGGGCAACAAGGGGATCCTCAAAATCAGCTGGAAAAGGTCACTTTTCAACTGCACCACATGTATCCTCTAGTTGCACCAACTGCAAAAACCGGCTGGCCTTGGCTTCTGGCACCTCTCAACACCCTCCAATTCTAGGCTGGAATTCCCCTGAACAATCAATCTGGAACCTCAATTCTAGGCTGGAATTAGGACCCCAACAGCAAAACAAATGACTTTTTTAACACAAAGGGACCCCAAAAAAAAAAAAAACAAACAAAAAGGGGAGCTAATTCTGGGAAATAATTCAACTGGCTACGTTCATGGGGAACAACTACACAAGTGGCTTGACATGAACCCCCATTCTCATATCCACCGCGATTGAAATTCAAACCTTCAACATGTCTTGCCTGTGGGGTTTTGCCTTGGAATCGGAAACCCTTCCGGAGTCCAACCACTTGCCTCGGCTTAGGCACATCGCCACCTCCCGCCCTCCGTGAGCATTCGACTTCGAACGCACGAGTCGAATTCGACGTCTCCTCGAAGGCCTTGTTGAAGGCCACGCGGTGCCCATCCCTTTCCGTCTCCACCAAGGTGCCGTCGCAGTCCAGCAGCAGTGCGCCCTCGCGTTTGGGCAAATCACACGGGCTCGGTTCCCCGCCCCAAAATTGGAGCGGGGCACCAAAAATGGCACCCAAAAGGAACCCCTGGCCCCCAATAGGCCGGTTGCTAGTGGGCAAAAGCTCAGACCACCAGACTTCCTACAAGAAAATAGTGTGCATGTCAATGTGGTGGTTTCCCTATTGCGTCCCTTCAACGTGGGCCTAAAACTAGTACCTGTAGAAATTGACGGCAAGCGGTTAGAATCAAGCCAAAGTCATACCCCTCATGGCGACGGTCGTGACCCTCCCGGCATCGCCTTGTCCGTCATCTCCACCCCACCGAGGAGGCCCCAGCCCTCGTCGTCGTCGTCCATGTCCGACTGCTTCAGCGGAGGCACTGGGGTGCCCTTGCGCAGGAGCTGGCCATACCTGCGCACAGGGGCTCGAATATGATCGAGCGCCCGCTCATGACATGCGAGACGAGGCTCACATGCCAGTTGAAGCTATGAACCTCTTGCTGTTGCAACCCAAATTGCCCTAGATCCAGATACTAGGGATGAAAATGCAGTTGATGATTTTCAAGACATGCCGTACTCGTGCATGACAACGCTAGCGGCATGCCATGTGCACGCGAACGCCACGCCTCTCACTCCCAAGTCGGCCAGTGACGTCTTGCTTACCCAGCCGGAGAAACTCAATGTGCCACTGGACAACTGGAAGACGCTTTTCAGGCTGGCGTAAAGGGAAACATGGGAAATCGAAAAGGACACTCGGACACCACCATTTCAGGGACCGGGCCTGATCAGCCTATCCGGCTCCCCTGGGATGATGCCCCACTCGGGGTCGTAGACGTCCGTGGAGTAGCGGTACTTGAACTTGGCCCCCGGCTTGGCGCGGAACCTCAGCTCAAGCTTGACCGCTTGACCTTTGGATGTTGGGAACCGGCTTTGACACATTCACATCTTGGCCTCTTCCATGTTTGATGGTGGAAGGGTGCGTGGCAAGTGAACAGGATGTGAACACGTGCAAAACAGGCAAGCATGAGAATTCACATGGGTCGCCCTCAAAAAATTGGGCCTCCCAAAGGGGGATTCCTCTTAGCAAAGTTGTGGTTGCATTTCAATATGCAGGCGTGTGAGTGCGTGTGTGCAAACTAGCAATCAAAAACATGTGTCTTGTACGCAGTGTAGAAACAGGATCTCCACATGCCTCCACTCTGCACGCTTTTGGGGGCGCCCTGGACAGGCCCCGTGTAGGCGTGCACAGTCGCACACAAATCCATGATAGGATAATAACGCCTGGCACCCTCCATGTGAGAGCCTCTGGAGTCGTCTGGTTAGATTGTGTCTTGCTGTTGGTAGTGGCTGAATGCAATCGTGTTTATCTCTGGTGCTGCGCTGTCCTCACTGTGGTCGATGCCGCTGTTGCATTTGCAACGGCCTGCATGAAGTTGACAATGACCATTTTGCAAGGAGTGTCTGTTCCTGCCATCCACTTCATGATATGTTTGGAAGCTCGGGCCTCATAGTCATCAACGCCCTGTAAAACATGAGGCACTCATCCACACCCTAAGCCTTTTCACAAGTCTCTCGTCAAGAGTCAGGTGAGTCACAATCAAAACCCGGTATTAAAATGGTCTACCCAGAGCCATGTAAGGAATTAAGAAGGCGGCCGCAGCTATTTATGGCTGGGATTGTCCGTTGCCTTCATCTACCCGGGTTTTGATTGTGGCTCAGGTTGCTCCCAAATTCCTTTCAGGGAAGGAAGTTGGCCCTGGCAACGGGGAGGAAAACTCTAGTCACGTCCCCTCCTGAGTGGCGCTTCTTGGCCGGGACGCTTCATGTCATAGAAGCAGCCCCCGTTGGGTCCCAAGCTCACACGGGAGCAGTTGCGCTTCATCACGCGGAAGACCGACACCGCCGCAACGGCGGCCAGGGTGGCGCTGGTGACCCAGCTGTCCACGCCTAAAACAAATCTGCAGCGCAGGATGTGGGATGCATAAATATGCTCATATACACCCTGTTCCAGCCTCATATGCATGATGTACACACTGGCACCCTTCACGTTAAAAACCGTTGATTTGAGCACGTCGTTTTCAGGGAAACCAGCCAAGGACCCAACTCCACCTCCCCCAGGCCCCGAATCTCTGGCCTGTGCCGGGTGTGTAGAGCGAGCTCTCAGCGCCCGGCATGCGCGGCACCTATCGGCGGCAAAATTGAGGCTCGCTCCCCTTGTGGGAAGTTCAGTGACCTCCATGTGCCTCCCAACTGGTTGACCCAAACTCGAATGGTAAGAAGCATTTTGCTGGGCAAGTGGAAGGAATTGCCTCGAACGCCCGCAATACAGTCTGGATTCCATCATGGGGCACCCTACCTTAGACAAACGGTTTGCTTCGACTAACGTGGTGAGCATTGTTGGCGACTAAAGCCAAAGCAGTGCGAAGCAACCGTAGAACTGTTGTGCGCACATGTCAAGAAAAGACAGGCCTCATGCGCGAAACTGAAATCGTGCACAACAATCCCAACACTGGCCCAACCTTCCACCTGCTGATCAAGCTTGCAGGTTCCCAGAGACACGCGCCCCTACAGTTGCCAAGCGGTATGTTTGAGAAGAAGGCATGCTACCAAAGGACAAGCAAGGAAACACAAATGCGCTTGAAGTTGTTACTTGGTTTTTGAGACATGCCTTGGGAACACACCAAAAAACATTTGAAGCATGCCGGAACCCACACAAATCAGTCTCTGATATGGCTGTGTGTTTGTTGGGGGTACACTGTTCACCTTTGATGAAGGGACCACCGAAAGGAAATCACAATTTTTGGGAGCCCCCCTTCGACATGTACCGATTGCTCGCCCGCCTGTGGCGCTCTAGGCGCGTTTAGGCTCACAAACGCCATGTCTGCCATGATAGGCGAAACGCGCGGGGTCAAAGGAACCCTGGAGCCCACGTTCTGCGTCGAAGCGACAGCGCGTCCATCAGGCTGCCTAGATACTGAGAACCCCGGATTCATAAACCCCTGCTTTTTTGTGTGTCCCCTTTTCAATCCACTCCCCCATTGATAGGGGGCCCGGTCCCCGGTTTAGTGGGCATTCCTTTCTTCCAGGGGGCCGGAACCTCTGTTGAATAATTGGGGGGGGGGGGGGGGTGTATGAATCAACTCATGACCTGAACCGACGCGACGGGGCCCTAGCAGCTTGCTCCAGGGTCTGGTCCGCGCACAAGGTGTCCTTGTTGCCCAGCAGCGTCATCGCCTGCAGAGAGCTCCGCTGGAAGGGGAAGGGGGTCCATTCTCATCTACCCTCAATAACAAACAGTGGCTTGTCCTTGGGAAGGGGATGTACGGTCCAGCGTCCTTCTGAAGAATTTGGGTCTATGTCCTTTTTGAGGGCACCTTATTCTGTTTGGCTTTGAAAGGGAACCCAAAAGGAAAACCGAAGGCACCTTCTTTTGTTTGGCTTTGAAAGGGAAACCAAAAGGAAAACCGAAGCCATTTTGGGGGTCCTCCTAAGCAAATCCAAACCTATTTGTCGCACGTCCTCACAAGGCCGCGCCCGCCCAGTTGGCCTGCCTGGTCACAGCTCTCGACGGTCGTCAGGCCCGCCTGACCGAAAAATGAAAAAGACCAGCGGCCTGGGAAGTCTTCCCAAGTGCTGCGGCTGGTCAAATACAAGTGCTCGCCCTCGACTCTTCTGACTGTTTGGGGCGGGGGGGAGGGAGGAGGGCACACATTCATGGAAACCACAGTATAAAGTCCATGGTGTACAATGGGATTCTCCACACTTGAGTTTACTTTTTTAGGAACGCCAAAGTACCGAAGTCCCTGATAGAATCCAGCAAAAAGGGACACCCTTTGGAATGTGTAAAACTGGTAGGGGGGTTGTAGAGGTTCCCTTTTCACTGGTTTCCTAGAGTCCCGAACTCTAAGAGTGGGCCAAAGCTTGACAACACGGATCCGACCAGTTTTTGGCGGGTAAGGAAAAATGAGGGGAACCCAAAAAGGCGAAAAGCTTCTCCCTCTTCTTCTGAGGATTCCCCTTTTGTGTGGTTGTAAGGCGAAACCAAAAGGAAAATAATAACCTTCTCACTTTCGGAGTGGACTGGCCAAACTTTCCATTTGCCGCTAGGATGGTCTTCCCAAAAAGTGGATGAACTCAGGACGTGAGTCTTTGGGGGTCCACTTTAAAAATACACCCCAAAATACCCCAAACAAGTTTCAAAAGGCCAGCCAAGTCTGGCAGTGACACAGGACCTGAACCAAAACAGCCTTCCTTGGCCTCCGGCCTTGACTGCCTCGCTGGCGAAAGCGGCGTCGTCGTCGGCGCACGTCTGGGCCCGCCTGCAAAAAGTGGCAAATGCAAAACACAAAGCGGCCAGCGCAGAGTCGACTTGCAAGACAGGGCACCTGGATACTCAGACTACCCTGAAGGAATTCATCCGAGGCATTCTTAGGGCAACACTAGTTGTTTAATGGGTAGTTTGAGGGTAGCTTCTATTAGCTTCCTCTTAGGTGGTGGCTAGCGCCGTAATGTGTTCAACGGGCTTTCCACTTACCCCCGACCAGTGACGACTCCCAAATCCAAACCAGGCCGCCAGTGCCCTTTTGAGGAGCTTCCTCTATGCGTGTTGGGGAGGGGGGGTTCGCGTTCCCGACCCGGCCCACGTCTGGCCTTCCGTGCAGTCTCCGGACTAAACCTGGCAGACAGGAAGATCTGGCTGGGCCTCTAAGGTGACACCATGGCATAAAGGGGCGAAGTGAAGTCATTCCTCACCAACCCATTCCCAGGTGGACCTGTGCACCATACCATGTTTGCCGGGATGGCAATTTGGGTTCTCTACATGCCCCTCATTTCGTGCAAGCTCAAAAACAAACATGATGATTGGCGCGTGCGCGTTTCTTGGACGATTTTGCGACTAAGGCACCTAAGGAACCGGATGGCTGGTTGAACCAAAGGCCAAGATTTACATGCCAGCCAAAGGCTACAAGCTGCTTCTGGGCATCCCGGAACCCAGTCGCCTTCCTCAAGGTCTGCTCACATCGGACATCGGGGGGGGGGGATAGGGGGGACGGAAATGAGCTGAGGCATGGCGACACAAGTGTAGCCTGCACTCAGAGATGGGTCTGTCTTGTTTCGGTGAATTCTTCTTTGGTTTGGTTTTGCAAGGGAGGCCAAAAGGAAATCCGTCACTTTGGGGGGGTTCCCCCCTAAAACACGAGACACCCATACACCCATCTCTCGTCTACCTGGAACTTCTGGGACGCGCCAAGAAGGCGTCTGTTGCACAGAAACCATCCCTTGCCGAAAGGCCGAAGTTGTGCACTAAGGCATCATTCGTGTTGGGGTGCACTAAGTGATCATTCGTGTTGGGAAGATTTTGCCGCTCGCGCGACCAGTCCTATTGATGTCAAAGCGACTTCCTGGGTTGTCCTGTTGCCTTCTCTTTGGGAAATTGCCCTCAGGAGAAATCCGCGCAGAGTATCACCGCGGCTTTGCGATGCTTCCAGAACTCCGCGTTGCAGTCTGTGATGAAGGGTCCCAGCGGCAATAGTACTGTGGATGGACAAAATCCTGCACCACCTAGGAAACCCTGGATGAAGATCCCCCTTTAAATACAAACAATGGGTTTCCCATGGTTTCTTAGGTGGTGCAGGATTTTGCCCATCCACGGCACCAACCGTTGTGAACTTGGCAGAGGGAAAGGGGGCGTCAGTGTGGCTCAAAGAGTTGAACAGGAAGGACTTCGAAGACATGATCAGATTGGTGCGGTTCAGCTGCGCCGCGACCAGGTCCGCTAGTCATGCTGCCCTTGCCCTTCAGGCAGTGAGGTACTTGCGCATGTTGTCTTGGCACACGGGGAAGGCGAAGTTTACCTTGAGGCCCAGCCCAACTTCGTGAAGCTAATGTGGGCAGGGGGTAGGGCTCGTTTGCCCAGCTGCGTCGCGCATGCGCAGCACGTTGGGCCTGTGCTCATTCTGCTCAATCAGCTGCCGTTGGCTTCAGCCATGGGGACGGCCAGCAGAAGGGTGGAAACCTCAAAACCGTGCGACTGTCCAGCTTCATCCTGCTGGTAAAGGGCATTCGGCCCCCCCCAACCCCCCACCCACCCACCCACCCACGCCCCCGCCCACTTTTCCCCCTTTTCAGGGCGGGGGGACTGAGCCCCCGGCCCCGGCTCTCGTAGTCCTCCACCTCCACGTCCTGCGGCGTCGGCACCTCCGCGCCCAGGAGCTCCGACCTCGTGGCCGGTGGCCAGTGCCGAGGCCGCTGGACCGAAAACGACCAAACTAGGTCCTCCTGGAGAGGTTCAGCTATCAGAATAAGGGTGCCAACTTTCTTCTGCGGTCAAGGTTAGTAGGGGAACCCACCCCCCAAAAGAAGGGTAAAAGGGCACTACTGGGGGACCTAGAAACTGCTGTGAAACGGAAAGACGTTGATTTTTGCTCTGGGCCCATGGTTTTGGTGGCCGTAACAGTCTGTTTGTCTGATGGCTTTTGTGGCCGCAACCGTCGATTTGTTTTCTTTGTTGACTGCCCAAAAAAGTTGTTTTGTTTTTTGCAAAGTGGGTGCAGTTATTTTTCCCCATAACTCGGGCACATGGTTTGGATTGCGGGCCATGAGCTAGCAATGAAACACTTGCGAGTTGGTACATTGTGGCCCGACTTCAGCGAGGTTGACAATGTGCCAGTTCAAAAAAAGATCCCAGAACATGGTACCAGGTAGTCTTCGCGCGGGGTCTTTTGTCTGAGGGGTGCAAACCACAAGTATACAACCTGGGTACCTCCCATCACTTGACCATTGGTGACAAAGCGTTCACCGTGCCCCGAAACCATGAACCTCGAAGGTCCAGAGGGGGTAACAGGTGATAGCCCCCGCTCCCCACAGCCAACCTTGGTCCATCACCCCAATTCCCCCCCTCCGCCCCCAAAAACAGCAAAAGGCCTATAACCTTTCATATGTCCTTGGATTCTGTCACACCAACCCCCCCCCCCGCCTTACCAGCCAGAACCCCCCCATCCCCCCCCATCCCCCCGTCCCCCCGTTCCCAGCTCCCTGCCAAATCCCCCCCCCGCCCCCGCCTCACCGCGGCAAAAGCGGCAAAGGCCTCGGCCACCGCTTGCAGCACGGGGGCGATGGCCCTGATCCCCCCCTCCAGGCTCACGTAGGTCGTGACCAGCGACTTCTGGGACACCTCCTGAGCCGATTGCAAGCCGAAACATACGGGGAAGCGGGGATTACCTGGACCCGCAAACTACCCTTGAAAAGGAATTCGCCGTAGATGTTTAGGTTTTAGGGCAAGAGCCAACTTTTAATGGGTATTTAAGCGCTTTTAGCAGCTTCCTCTTGCTTGCTGGTTTGGAAACCGGTGGTGTGGAGTGTTGTTGTGGTGGAGAAACGCTTTCCCTCTCTACAAGAAGCAGGGGTTTAGCGCAACAGGTCTCGATCAGCTTTGATGGGACCACCGGATCCGCCAGTTGTCTACGGGACGATTCGGCGCCAAAGCCAAGTGAAGGGAATCCTCGGGAATGAGCCAACGGACCCCCTAGGAAACCATAAGGGACGGGTGATCCCCTTGCCAACCCCAAGAAGCACCATGCACCTTGCCCCTGAGCTTCACATAAGCTAAATTTGTGGAGTCTTCGGCTTTGACAACTGCCACTTGCAGCCAAAGCTCCACTTGGCACATCTCTGGCTCTGGCTCCAAACCAGGTGGGTGGTACTTTCTTATGCGGCCGACCTCAAAACCGCCCTCCAGGGGTCACCACACTGGGCTCTTCAAAAAGGAGAGTTCGCCAACCCTAATCCTCCGTGTACTTCAGTCCCTTGGAAATGAACAACTTTTCCTGTAGTGATAGATTCCCTTTAAAACCAACAGGGGAACACAAAACAAACATATGAAGCAATGGCCGCTATCCATGATCCCTGTGGGACAACAACGGCACCACATTCGTAACACGGCACGGGTAGCCGCCGAGGCGCACTTGGGCCGTCCGGCAAGGTCGCCGGCGGGAGCGTGGGCATGTACACGTCGCAGCCCGGCAAAGGATTCGCCATAGCTGAGCGGAAGGTGCGAAGTCAGCGTGTACGTAACACATTGGCCCTGGTTCCCTGGTCATTTGGTGGTTACCTGGTTGGTTCGCACTTTACACACGTGATTGGCTGAAGATGTGGCATTTGCAGGAGACCCACCCTTAGTTGGAACGCTGGGTTCTGAGATTTATTTTGGACCCCCAGTCAATTGGCAAACCTTGGTTGTCCGTTACTCACGTCTGCCTTAATCGACCTTGCGTATGACATTCCATGCAACATGTCTTGGGTCCCTTGCAGAAATCTCAACACGCAACTCAAGATGCAACCTACCTACTTGTTTAGGGCCAAGGAGGGATCACATACGTAGTATCGCTTGGTCTGGATTAGCACCATGGACTTGGGAAAGGCTTGGCTTACAACAGAAACTTGGAAGGTATCAATCAACAAATCTGAGCGGCCCTGTAGGGCCCTGTGGGGGGTCATACTCGGATGACCCCAAAACAAGCCTAGGATAAACCAGAAACCAATAACAAGGCCATATAAAGGAGCATTAGGGCCACAAACATCCGAAAACACACCAAGGGTTCAGGGTCCGCTGGAAAAGGTCGCTCTATCCCCAGAGCACCTACTTTCAACCTGCTCCACCAACCTCAATACTGGCTAGGTCTGAATCCTTTGCCCAGGATCTTGTGGCTCCAGCTCTAACTTGTCGCACTTGGCTTCACAGTCACTCCCTGAGTAGCAAAGGGACACAACCCCAGTTCCGGACTTTGAGAAACGATAACCCCAGTACAAACTCCCGAATGTTGTGGGCGGTTTCAGGAATCAAACAGACTTAGTCATGTCGTTCGACCATTAAACAATACTCCTCAACCTCTTCAACCGGAATCTCCTGGGGACTTTTCCCCTGCGTGGCTTCGGAGGTCCCCAAGTCCCAGCACCAGGAGCTCACGACACGCCAGGCCACTGTTGAAGTTGATCACGGGCTCAACCTCCAGGTAGCCCGCGCGAGCCTCGGGCACGTCACGTGGGCAGATCGCGCAAGCGACGTGTGGCTGAAACCCGCCCCGCTGGCAGTGAAGAAATTCGTTCAAGCCCTTGGGTCTTGGTTGGCTGCTTTGCGACGCCGGCTTAGTCTTCCAGAAATGGAAGCCAGTGAGAGTTCGCCAAGGCTCCCAATTGGACTGCACGTCGCACTTCTCGTTGCAATGGCACAGCATATACTTGCCGCAGGCCTGAGAAAAAACAATATGCCACGTCCCAGCTGTTAGGCCAGCCATCTATTTACCCGGATGAATCACCCCCCCTTACTTCCTTCATCAAAGCTCCTTGACTGCCAGCCACTTGTAAAGGGCCTAAGGCGGTCCATGGGCCGCCAGAACCCCCATGGCACGATAGTACGCCAAGCAAAGGTTTGTCTGAGCCAACACTAAACCGGTGCAAGCCCAACAGCCGGCACCAAACAGCTGAAGTGTATAAAACATATATCTATAATATGTATATATACATATTCGTGTTTATGCATGTATATAAATGAGTGCGTGCATGCAAATGCATACAACAACCATATATGTGTCTTTCTGTTCTGTCTTGCTTTTTGCTCAACAAGTGTATATACTTCTTCTATCTTCTCGATGTACAAAATTGTGAATGCTGAGTATTGGAAAGATGCATCGTGGGACCCAGGTCCTTGAAGCAGAAACAAGGCAGACTTTGACCCCGAACCCTGTTCAGTTCGGGTCTGTCGTTTGATGGGGAACGAGCCGGAAAGGACAGGAGGTCGGAGGACCATGCTTCTTGCTTGCCCCGACCTTGGTAAATCAATTTGTTTCCTATGCTGTGGTCCTCCGGTTCAGGACGCAAAGGTGTGTCTCACAATCGGGGGACGCCTGCACACAGGCGGCTTCCTGTTGGTTTCCCTCTACATCCCGGGCATCGAGCCCCAACCCGCGGCCGCAAACAGCGGCGTCTATCCGCCTCACAAGAGATCGAAATGCACAGGGCACGCGTCGCGCATGGGTTTTCGGCAAAGGATGAACCCAAGGCAATCCCAACCGGTTATCCTTCCTTGCGCAACAATCTCAGGCTGGGAGCAACCCTGGCAGGTGGCAGTTCCATGAAAATTGCAAAACATTGGCCAATGCTGGAGAAACACGACTAAGAACAAAGAATTGGCGATTTGAGTGGCACACGCTTGAGCGGTGTGTGAATTGCTCCCAAAATCGCTGGCCGAGGCACGTTCACCACGATGCCGCCCCAGCGGTGTAGAAACTCGGTGGCCAGACTGGGGGGCGTGGTGCAGATGAAGCCTGGCGCGCATGCGCCCGCAAAACCGCCCCCGCGAGACCGGTTTCGGGGGCGGACGGGAGCCGGCCCCTGCGCAGCTTGGAGCCAAAGGCTTTTCGGCAACGCCAAGTAGGCAATCCCTCTAATGCCGCTGCTCCAATGACGTGTTCTCAAGTATATAGTGCAGACGGCAAAACCGAAGCTCCCGCAACTCACTTTTTGGACCTGTACTCAAATCTATCAGACTGTTTTTTACCGATACTATGTCTAGAGAAACCGCCGGGATTCCCAGGGTGTGTTGGCAGATTCTAAACGGAAGGATCACCGGAACACAAAATAAGATCAGTTCACTTTGGCAGAAACATAACGTTAGAGACTATTCAGCACCCATACGTTCAAATGATTCCCCCCCAACATATCCACACCCCACCTACCCCTCCGACCCCTCGAAACAACAATGTCCACCCAAACATACACCATACCCCCCCCCCACCAAGAAAGCCAACACACACACAAGCTATAACAACACAACCAGAATCTGACAGACAGACAAAGACCAACAAACCAACCAACCAAACAAAACATCCTTGACCTGAAGCCCAGCCCTGGGGTCCATTTCGGTCTGTCCCAAAAAGGGACGACGCCACAAATGGCTTTGGTCTTGCTTTTTGGTTGACCCAACCAATCTCAAAAGGGTACTAAGCCTCAAAAACAATGAGCCACACACCAAAAAGCGCCTGGTTGTTGGTGACGGATCCCTTTTCGACCAAGCCACTCTGGTCTCGCTGGTGGGGGTTGGTGGGCATGGGACGCGCCCCAACAAATTCAGCCGCAGAATTCAGCCCCAATTTTCCCATGTTCTCCACATCGTCCAGTGAAATGAGTTGCGACTTGTGGTTTGAAGGAGGACACTTCAAACGAAAGGCAGAACACAAACAAACAAACAAACAAACAAACAAACAAACAAACAAACAACGGGACAAAAAAAAAAAAAAAAAACAATCGCACAAACAAACAAAACAAAGAAACCAACAGACAAGCAAAACAAAGAAACCAACAAGCAAACAAACAAGGAAACCAACAAACAAACAAGACAAACAACGGAAAAAAACAACATCGCCTGACAGCGGCCCGGCGTCTGGCGGCTGCTGACACTCCAGACCCGTGACGTTGAAGGCGATGCCCTCACGCCCTCGAAGGCAGGCGGTTTGCGGCAGTTTTCCCAGGTCCATAACTTGCAGCTCAGGAGGGAATGAGGGAATGAATCCAGGGGTCCCCTTTAAAGGAAACCACAAGGGATGGTTGTAGGGGTCATAGCAAGAAAATGCGGGCACTCCAAATCCATCAGCGGTCCCTGCAAAAGGGGGGGAGGAAGGAACCTCCCGTGGGCCACTCGCCATAAACGCCCCCCTTTTTGCCTGTAACAGTAAACTCCAAAATCGGGTAGAGTAAAACACTTCGGTTGCCCCAACTGTGGCCAAAAGAAGAAACCAAGCCTGTTTACGGCTAAGATGGTCCGAACGCAAAAAAGATACTTTGTCCAGGAACTGAGGGAGTGAGACTCTAGAAAGGAAACTGGTGATGTGGGGCCAAGGGCAAAACCAAAAGGTGGATTGGTCTGAAAACACATATCCATTCCCAGTGCCTAGGAGCAAAACGAATACGGAGCCTGGTTTCCCCTTGAACTACCCCTCAAAACGGGCACTCCGTGCTACCCTCCAAGAACAACACGCAGCTAATCTGTGGCTGACGCCAAGCTGCCGCAGAGCTGCCCATCGGGTATGATCTTCATCCGCGGGCCTGATGAATGTTTCGCAGAAATTCACCGGTAGCTCTTGGAGGGGTTCCTCGCGCCACGGCTCTGACAAAGAACAAAATCGTGTCCCTGATGTGGAGCGGCCAAATGAAGATTACATACACATCTTGTATAGTTTATTCTGTGGGGGGGATCGAAACCATCTTGACTTGATCTACCAAACAAAAAAGAAGCCCCTTTGTTTCACTAAGGCTTTGGCCCCTTCAATGCCCGGTCAAAATGCTGCGCCCCTGGCCAAAGCAGATGGCCAAAGGACTCCACCCACATTCTGTATCCCACGGGGGGCACTTCAGAAGCCTCCCAAAACCATGTAAGTGTAACTCCCACTGCATATCGTGCATCTGCCGAGGAAAAGATTCCAACGAGTTACCTGTCCCCATCTCATCTCACCGGGGTTGAAGGCAAAAATATGTAGGTGTGTCAACATAGGGGAGGCCCACACAAAGACCGTGTTATATCTACGATTACTTCCTGAGACGTACCTCGCCCCTACCCAAAAACAGCTAAATGGTTAAGCAAGCAATAAATAAGCAAGCAGTAAGCGAGCGATATCGATTGCCCGCCCTACCTACTCATTTGGCCTCGCTGCTTTTGGAAACAAGGGGCCAAATATGAGCCCCCTTGTTCCCGGTGGTATGCAGGGAATTCCCATGTTGCTTATCTAAGGGCTCGACCACGCCCTGGAGTCCTGATTCAACTGCAAGGGTTTCAAAATGTGGATACCCCAAACCAATTGCCCAAGGCTTTTCAAGAGCATTATGCCTATGACAGGGGCACACTCAAATCGCGCTCCAGGTGGTTGACATGGCATTGTCCTACCTAAAGTGATTTGGAGCTTCGCCAAGCACGCTTACGAAATAATGTCGAAAGAACCTGGCCCCAAAAAGGAGACAAAGGCTGCCCTACTGGCGTAGTGCAGCGTCTGCAATCCCTGCCTTGGCCGTGCCCCACGTCTTCCGAGCGCATCCTCTCGCCAGTGAAGTCAATAGTCAGTGTGCGGCCAACGATGGCCTCTGCGGCAGGCTTTTGGCCCTCAAGCTGGTAAGAAAGTCTGAAACAAATACCGGGTCTCAAATCAGTAGCACGGGGTTGTGGGGTACCTTAACCCGCAAATTAACAGTCATGATCTTTGAGGAATGTGTTCAGTTGCTTACACCCATAGAGAGAAACGGGGCCAAAGGTCATGCAGGGCATCTGTTGAGCCGATCCTTTCCCCCAAACTGCTGGCTTTCCTTCTGGGTGCTACGTCAGGACTTGAGCTCGTGGCAAGGAAGGGGCGGATACTGAAGACGGTTTCTGAGCTGAGTGACCCTGGCAACAAATATGGGAGTCCTATCAGTGGGGAAGCCACCAAACGCAATGGGGAAAAAGGGTGACGCTGACCAACTGTCAGCTTCTCTCAAATTTTGATGATTTGAACTGGTTGGTGGTTTGGAGGCTGGAGTTTGTTCCCAGTAATTCCCATTTACCCTCTACAAAAAGATCCAGGGGTCAAATCCCCAAATCACCAACCAAGGGCTACCTGAAGCTTGGTTTTAGGAAAGAAACCGCTGTTAAGACAAAAGACCATGGCCGCAGAAACCAGTAAAGCGCCCCTCTTTCCGCCAGAGTTCCTAAAAGCACGCCATCGCATGGAGGCTCAAAACTCCGGACACTCGTTGTTGCTATATCGCCCTAACCATCTTGGGACCTCCAAAAGGGGCCTCAATGAGGTCTCAACTATTCCAAAGCTCCAATGAGCTCCGGCGACGCATCTCGCCTTCATGTCCAAAGAGAGCTGCACCTCGTCGATCTTGTCGCTCACTTTGAAGGCTCCGCCTTGCGCCTCGACCAAAAGACCCTCCATCCGGCCCCGGCCGAAGCTAGCGTTTTCAGGTGTGGACTTTCGATGGCTTTGGGAGGGTACCTGGGTTCTTAAAGCTCTCAAGCCCCTGGTGCTCACTGAAGCTTGCATGGCCTGAGGAAGAGCCTTCGACTTCCAAATCTGGCTTTCTGCATACGCCACTCTCCCCCTCTCCCCAACAAGTGCTTCGTAGACAATGTTGGCAACAATTCAGGGCGCGTTGTCTCACGCGGATCTTTAGAGAATGCCTGCCACTTGGCTCCCGGTTACATTTCTCCAAAGGATCAATAGGCAAGCCCAAAATGAGATCAATGCGAGAATGGAACATGGAAGTCTGCGATCCTGCCAGGTGCTTTTGGGGCCATGTTAGTTCGCACCAAAACAGCAAGCACCACTTGAGGGAACCCCTGTTTAAAATGGTCATCAAACAATACAGAATCGTTTGATCCTTCTCCGATGGAAATTTCATGATCCCGGCTTTGGCATTTCCACGCTGTGACGGGCCCAATCACGTTTGTGAAACCGGCCTCAATCACGTTTGTGTAACCGCCACCTGTCAAGGCTCAACGTGTTGCCCATACATCCCCCTTTGCGGAGGTTTCTGTTTTTGTCCCTCCCCTTTTGGTGGCTCCAAAGAGGCAAATAGGAGCAGCTAGCTGGGGTGAACGATGTAGATCCACAGCAAGGAGAGCCATGGGAAGGTTCTTGTCCTTAATGGTGGTTTAATGGCCTCCAATAGTCTCTGTTAGCCACAAACAGCTGCATTTAGACCCATGCTGCGCCCCCGAACAAGAGGCAGGTAAATGCTCGAATCATTGAGTTCTGCGCGTGCCTGTTGGCGCCCTTTTGCCAGCAATTAACCGGCATTGCAGTTTGTTTTTGTCACTACGAATTAGACCCGTGCTCTTTTCCCTTCCTGGAACCATAGTGAGGAGACCCTCTTGGGTTCTAAGGTGTCCTTCAAAGGGGCAGGGTTTCCAAAGCCCCCTGGGAAAATAGCCGGCGCAATTCCATTCGGGGGTTCTCACCCTGCTTGCTTACCAGAATCATCTGTGGCATGGTCAAAAACCACCAGGTAAAGGGGCAAGCAGGGATGGCCACCCACCTAGTAGTAGGGATCCTTAACAACTATAATAATTCCCATGAAGGCGGGACCTTTGATCACCCACTTGGCTTGCGAAGAGGCACAGAAGCAAAGCTCGACCCGGGGATCCGGGGCCCCAGCGCGGCCCGGGGCGCCCGCCATGCGGAAGTAGCTGTGGGCGCACTTGCAGTGGCAGTCCTGGGGGTCTGTCTCTACCCTGACAGCTCTGAAAGCTCTTTGATCGCTCCCCACAACAAGCACCAGGAGCTCTCTCTCGCTTCCTGAGTTGATGAGCCCAAAACAAAGTCCAAGCTGGTCACGGCGACCATATCTTCTGCAGGGTGGTGAAAAACGGGAAAGCTTGAGGGTGATAGAACTGGGCACCCTCTTTGATGGTTCGCGGAACTCATGGCGTTGCAGACGCGCCCTTGCAAGGCATACCGCCATGAGGATGCTGTTTGCGGATCAAATCAGGCATGTGTTAGACTGTTTGTTGAAGGCAGCCCCTGGTGGCCCCCAAGAAAAAACAAAGGCGCGAGACAAGGCGGGCAAAGAAGGCTAAGGCCACCAGCGGGGCTGCACCAAAAAAGATCTTGCGCTGGGCCATGCCCATGCCTCAACCCCTTCGGGATCCGAGTGGGTCCCAAAGTGGGTCTACATGGCTTAAGTGTTTCTAACCCAACAGGGTTCCGTGGCAACTTCCGTCGGAAAGCTGCCACCTTTTGTTTAACTTGCCCTTTGGTTGGAACCCTCACAGCCCGCACCTCAATTTGTCACGATCTGTTGGAAGTCTAGGGGTTATTTATCTAAACATGTGGTGGACAGGCTTCTTTTTGGATGACTGTCTGGGGGGGAAACCTCGAAACTTCCATGTCATTTGGTGGGGGGGTATCTCCTGTGGTTCCTGAGGCAGGGGTCGAACTCTGTAAGCTGCAAGGGACCTGGTGTAGACGATGCTGCCCCATTGCCCAGGTTCAAAGTCCATGACCCCAGTTTTTGGACTTTGATTAGGCAAACCAACAGTTTGGACAGGCAAGCAACCAGACCCAGCAAGCAATAGTCCAACACTTGGTGCCTAGTGTTGTTTTTTTTTGCCAATAGTCCATGACCCGCGCGAAACAGACATTCAGTGAGCCAACCCCCCACGGATGGCCTGGCCCTGCCGGATGGCATCGACGCAGGAGAGCCCATCCTTCTCTACCATCTGCCAGCACCTATCGGAGACCGTGCCAACCGATGGTGGCCCCTACGCTTTGTGAAAGATATTGGTCCCCCCAAAATGTGTGGTTTCCTTTTTGGCTTCCAGGAAACACCAGCCAAAGCGGGGGTCCGAAATCCCTGCATCTCAGCATGCCAACTCCTTTGGGGACTTCTTTTGGGCCTCTAAGCGCTCTAAGGGGGCTCGGCAGGCGTTCAAGGCGTTCGACGCAGTTTTCCTTTGACACCTCCTGACAGGGTTGCTCCCTCCCTTCCCCCCCGAACCAAACGGTCGATCGCCTTTTGCAGGGTCAATGGAAGAGCCCTTAATGTCCACCAAAGGTCTAAAGGGCCCAATGGGGCCACACCAAAAACCAGCCGTGGACAGGGACGGACTTCGGGAAGTTAGCTGACATTCCCTCCCGGCTGAAAAGGAGCCATCCTCTTCGCTTGAAACAAAGTTGGCCAAAAGAGGCAAACGACACCTGCACACCAAAAGGTCAAAAGGAGTTTCATGGATTCTTTCTTCAGCAGCCCCTCCGCTACGAAAGGCAACCGACAGGCTCCGCCAACCATTGGAAGCCAAGCTCGTTGGGACCTCCTGTGGTCAAGCATGTTGACACTACTCCCTTTATGCATTTTTACTGGAGTTTCCCGGCTCGTGGCTGCCCGTTTTCCCCAAACCCCCACCAACTATACCCACCCAACCGGGGATAAGACAACATGCAGTAGTCAGGTCAATGAGGCCAAAACGTTTGGGGGGATCCTTTGGGCGAGTGGTTTGCAGGGTCCCTGACACCTTGCCCAACCCCCCGTCCCTCACAAGTTAAATGGCTGCGGCTTAAAAAGCATCTATAATCAGTTTGAGTCACACCCAAAAGTGGGGCTCCTTGCCCGACCAAGCAACCAAGCAAGCCGCCAAGCAAGCAACCCAACCAAGCGACAATGCAACCAGGCAACCCAACCAGCCAGCTAAGCGACCAGCCAGCCAACCAACCAGGCAAGCAACCAAGCAACCAACCAAGCAACAAGCAATCAAACAACCAAGCAACCCACCCAAGCCAACCAACCCACCCAACCAACGTCAACCAACAAATCAACCAACCCTCACAGTTTTCCCTTTATTCCCCAGTGACGTGCCAAAGGAAAAAAAAAAAAACGAGCCATCGCCCCGCCTGCGCTGGTTCAGATTGGGCACCTCGTCCCGGGTGCAGCGCCAAGAGCACTCGATGGTGTCGCAGGACACGGGGCAGAAGTCCTTGATGGGCTCCCAGAGGCCTTCCATTGGCGGTGATAAGCAGGGGGTCTTTTTGCCACCTGTTGTGAGAAAATTGGCGACCCCCTTAAAAAGGAATTATTCACTACAAGGGGGTCGAACAATTTTCCACAAAAGGTGGCAAAAAGACCCCCTGGAGTGATAAGGCTGTGGGTCAAAAATATGCACCCAAAATGGAACCCCTGGTAAGTGGAAACATAGACCAAAGCCTGCGGTCCCCTGGTGGTTTAATTTTGACCCATACCCATAAGGGTTGGGTTCCAGGAAATTCTACTAAAAAAGACAGCTTCTTAGGGTGTTTTGGAGCCAGTTCCTATTGATTGCCCTGTAACCCAACCCTTTCTGAAGCTCTGTGAATCAAACATGGACTCTGTTGTTTTGTTTGCTTGGAGGTGGGAAACCCACGTTAAAATCTCGCTGTCAATAAAACAGTGCCGCGTTTTGTCCTTCTTTTTGGAGGCGGGAAACCTCTGTAAACACAAAAGCAGTGGCCCTCTTATTGTGTCCCTTAGGCACTGGGATATGGGTTAGGATCCCTGACATCATTTTGGTTCGGGTGCATGTTCAACGGCTGCTTTAGGTTGGGGTTGTGGCATTTGCCATTGCCATCCGCGGGAAATGGTCTTGGTGCCCTCCTATAGTGCCTATTGCCATGCGCGGGTAGAATGTGGGACATCTGCTACATGTTCTTCTATATCTGGCTGTGGGTCAAAAATAGGTACCCAAAATTGGATGCACTGGGGGGTGCACTGGTAAATGGAACCAAGGACTATGACTTAGTTTTGACCCATGCCCATATACGAGCCACGATTTTTGAGCATAATTACGGGGGAGGGGGTGGGGTGATGGATGGATGCCCTGTCCGAAACCTGAAGGGAAATACGCAGCCCGTACCGAAGGCAGCAGTACGCGGATGCTGGCGCGCGCTCTCCGAATCCAGCCTGAGCAGCCGAGTTTGCTGACAGCCTGGCTCGGTGGGCTTGGGCCGGTCAGGGGCCGCACTGGGCCAAACCAGTAGCAGGGCTTCCGCTTCATTATTTCTCCTTTGAAGGTCTTTGACACAACTGAGTTTCCGCTTGAAATGTTTCCTCGATTGGTCCCTGCCGAAAATTTATAACTCTTCCTCAAAAGTTCGTTGCGTAACAGGCATATTAATAATCTCAAACAGTAGGCTAAGCAAAAAAGCAGCCAAGTCTAACATGGCTTCCTATACTTCCCCTTCGACCATCACCGAATTGGCAACCAAAAGGTGATGGGTAATCCCAAAGGGAACATATGGGTGTGTGTGTGTTATTTCAAAGGGGACCCCTCCCCTCCCCCCCCCCCCCCTTCCAAAAAAGAAAAAAGAACGGTTCGGAACTTGAGGGTTCTGTTTGCCACTGGTTGGCACCAACTCAACCCACGACATCCCGTAGGGAACCCTGCCGGGCGAGTGGCCCATTGACCCCTGCGCCTTACTGCAGTCGTCCACGCCATACCCAGCCGTCCTAGATGGGTTAACCCCCGAACAAGGAACCGAGGAACCTTACACTCCCACAAATGGGCGTGTCTTTCTTGGAGCTACCCCAATTTTTTGCGTTTGAGGAAACAAGACATAAAAGACAAAACACAAGCTTGAGGGCACCCGACAAAAAGAGACACGCCCAAAGTAAAATGGAAGCTCCAAACCCGCCCTGTTTGGGGACCTCCTTTTTGGGCTCCACGCAAAAGATGCCGGGAGTGAGTAACACCTTGAAGGGGTCCGCCCCATGCCAGGGATAGGAAGAAGGAGACTTCACAACTAGCCGTTGGGGGGTGGGTTGCAGTTCCTTTGCCTTTGAAGGCGAAGAATGGGCACAATTCGTGTCAAGTGGCTCAGGGTCGAAAAAAAGGATAAAGAATTTTGCAGCCCGAAAAAATCAATAGACCGAGCCATCTGCAGCCCCCATATGTCGCAGAACTGCTATCCTGCATGCAGCTACGGTTCCATACGGTTGTTCCTTAGGGAGCCTTAGGGACCCCTTATTTCCATCACGTCGACAAACACGACGCAGCCATAAGACGGTAAGCTCCACTTCTCTACCGGTGGCTAGAGATCATGAAGATGCCGCCTCGGCGGCAGTGTCTCCACTTATCACCATGGTAGATCGTGTACGAAGATGTCTATATAATATCAATATATATATATATATATATGTGTGTGTGTTTGTATGTATACAAACTATGGTATGCACCTGTAAGCTGCATGTCAGAAAATCCTATATAGCAAAACTTGAAATCTTGAACCCCCCCCCTAGTCTCGAGCCACAAGGCGGCTCCTGAGCATCTCTCCGTGGTCGTCGCAGGAACGCAGACAGGCTAAGCCTCGGGTCAAAGGGCTATTGCATACCTTTTTGTGAACCCGCCTGTTTGTTCAGGCATCGTATATGCTGTTCATAAGTGTAGCTGCTCTCATATGTTTTTTTTTGGGGGCACCACCTCGGTTTGAAGGGGAGCCGAAAGAAAACACCACATACCATACACATAATTTGGAGTCCTTTAGCTCCACTCTTGGTCAAGGAAGGGCAACTTAACATTGGCACGGAGCCACCGGAAAAGAAAGGCACTACACCGGGTGGGTGCGTGATACACTGAGTGGCAATAGCGGGGCCAGGGACAACGTAGTACTCGTACGATCTCAGGATGTTGGCGTATCTACCGGCCACAAGACACCGCGCGCACCCGGACATGCACCCAAAACGCAGGTCCGAATACATCGAGCCGAATACATCGAGCCACTACCCGCTCCAAAGAGCCACAGGGTTGTTGCATTGGCGCAGGAGGTCTGAAACAGGAGATCCCCCCAAACCGGAAACTGTCCCTTTGGCTCCTTTAAGGCCACCGCCAAAATGGGGGAACCCCGACATGGCGGTTTGATGCGGTTTTCACTTGGGCTTCCCATTTTGCACTGACTCCGCACAGGGTTTCCCTTAATTGCCAGACCCAAACAGCCGCGTGAGTAGGTGCAGGCCTGGCCAAGAAAACTGGGCCCCGAAACCCTTGAGGTTGCCTTCGGTTTCCCTCAGGCAGAAAGGCTTGGAATACCCTTGGCGCCCCAAGAACCCTTCGGCTTGCAATTGCCTCAGGTGGAACTTCCCGCGTCCAGAAATTGGAGGCCCAAGACGTGCGTTGCTTCGGGGTCCAAGACATGAGCGAATTCCTGGCCCTTGTTGGGGTCCAGAGTTGTAGGATACAGACAAAGATTCCTGCTGGGCTCGCGCCGATCGCGAAACCGGACAGCCCTTGCGGGCGTTTGGGAAGGATTCAATTCGGCCCAAGAAGCCGAACTTTCGACGCCTTCGAACAAGGCAAGTCAAAGGCGGCCCCTGGCTCGGGAACGCACAACTTCCATGTGCTGAAGTCCCCCTGGAAAACATAAACATGCTTCCAGCACTGATAGACACCCTTCAAACCAAAAGGGGAAAACAACAAATATTCCTAAGCAAACGGAAGAGGGTTCCCGTTCCGACGAGTGACTGGTGCGCACCAGGCCATCGGGAATGCCGCACCCGGGCGCCCAGTTGCAAGGAAAGTCCTACGAAGGGCGGAGTGATCTCCGGACCAGCCGAGAACCAGTGGGGATATACCTAATGAGCCCGGGTTTCGTTCCCGGAGTTGCCGAAAAAAGACACCCAGGTTGCTCCGAAATCGAAAGATGTGGGAGCCAACGCAGATATGGGTGTGTCCTTGTTTGGGGGGTAGACCCTTTGTTTTGCAGTGTGTTGTGTCTTTTGTGGGTGCTTTTGAAGGGAAACTAAACGGAAACCTGCCATGTAGATGGTTCCCTCAAAACATCACACCCATATCGCCTCAGTTTGTTTTGACGCAAGCCAGTGCACCTGCCTTAGGATGCCAAAGGAACAGACAACCGATGCTAGGCTGCTAGGTTGCTTGCTTCACTGATTGGTCTAAAAAAAAATCCATGCCAAGTGACCAGCTCTGTCATCACACCCGAACCTGCGACGAAATTGTAGGTCTCAAACCACCCATCCAAGCTGCGTGTCCGGTCGGGAACTCGGAGCAAACACACACAGAGCTGGTCCTCTTAGCATGTAGCCAAACCCGTTCGCGCTGGCCCGGGAGCATTCAGGCGACAGCCAAATCAAGATTCAACGCAAACCAACCCGACTCCTCGTTGAGACAGTAGTTCACGGCGCAACCGTATGGCGCCTTGCCCAGGAGAAGCACGTGAAAGAACTGAAGCAACTCTATGTGGGTCGATCAAAATGTCCTTTACATGGGATGGCCGTTGAGAAAACCCGCTACAAAGATCATATATTTCTTGCTAAATTGGAAAAGCTGCCCATGGCAACTTGGGGCCAGGAATATTGAGCAACCCCCCACATATGGGATCCCACGGTCGCTGAAAGGGTGTCAACTGGGGAAAGAAACATGGGATCCAAACTGCCAAGAAGCATTGAAGGAATAAAGTAGTGACGTCCCACTATGCCGTGTCTATTCTCAATCCATGCGTTCCGCCCCACAGGACCTGCTGGGCTCAGGGTCTAACCTTAGGGTTTAGGGCTGGGGTGTAGCGTTAGAGCTTTGGGGGTTTGGGATTTTGGGTTTAGGTTTAGGGCTTTTAGAGTTCAGTCTTGTTTAGTCTTCCTTTTCGTAGCTGAGTTTGTGAGTTGGGCTACCGAGACCCTAGTCGGAGCTTAGCCCTCCAAACTCCCAAAACACTTGCTCGGAGTAATTTACATTTGGCGGCCAACCTGTCCGGAGTCACATGGATTGCCCGTATGTCCAGTGCTGTGCAAGGACAAGTGGTGAGTGTGCACTTCTTTCTTGTTGGGGGGGGGGAGAAACGCCCCTTGTGGTTGCCTTTATAGTGAAGGCAAACCGAAGGACAGTCCGGGCCTGTTTTTTGGAGGAAGCCGGCCTTTTTCGGAGAACGCCCTCGCACCCGGGAAAGACGACTTGCCACATGAGTGGCAGTGGTCTTGAAATCAGGGGCCCTTGTGTGAGTCGGTGGGTGGGGGGGAGCCAAACCGAACCCAAGTAATTGATGCACCCAGTGAGACCGTGGCCCCTCCGCTTTCCTGGGGTGAGGGGTCCCCCCTTTCCCAACTTGTCCAATGTCTTCCCATGGCACTGGCTGGAATGGCAGCACTTTCCAATTCCATCCCCAGGCCCTCCTAGCAGTTGGCACCCGAGAGCATCTTTTCTCCACATCTATTTCGCTCCGTGCGCCTCGATGTCTAGGGCCTGTCTCTGCCAAAAGGGGGTCCTGAAAGTCTCCTTTTCGGGCTGGTCTTCACAAAGCCAAATCCCAAGGAGCCACACCCAAAACCAGAGGCACATCACGTTCGGGATCGGCTTGTCCAGGTCCCGAGCCTCTCTTGCGACCCGCTCACCTCTGACCGAGCCCATGTCCGAATCTTCAAATGGGAAAGGCTGATGGGAATGACCGGCTCATCCCTGCGGGGAGCCGATTCTCAGATATCAAAAACACTAAACCTTTCATGACCACTTGGACTGCACCAATTCTTTGTTGCCAGCCTGTCTCATCCAAATCTGCGAGAAATTCAAATCCCTGCGACATATAGCCGTCTTCCCGGGGTTGGCTTATGTAAAAACTCGGTTTTGCGGGGGCAAGTTGTGTTTGACGGAGCCCCAGGTGTCCCATCTCTTGCTGCGAGGTGTGACGAGCAAAGGGACTAGCAGGGCATGTGCTCAGCCGGTCGCGGCTACGAGCGGAATCCAGCGGTCTCTCTCGCAACTATGTTGCAAAGCTGCGCCTTTGGCGAGGGGCTGCACCCAAACGCCACTCGACCCACGGCAGGCAAGAATCCGAGTGAAGCCAGTTCGTTAGCAAGTGACTTCAGGCGAACTTGCCGAACCAACTTCCGACCGCGCGCTTCGCACCAATCCGTCTCTCAAGTACCTCTAGTACCCGCAAATGGGTTCAAGCACAAGTGTCTGACCGGTTCGAGCCGGCATGGCAGGGGAACTCCAAAAGTGTGACTGAGCGAGTCCGTGGCTCGAGTTTTCATCGTGTCCGCCTGGACCAGGAAAAAAGATCAGAGGATCCGTCCGGGGGGGGCGAACCAACCCTCAGGCTTCCGTCATCGGGATTCGGACCCCGCGTGAACTGGCGATACCCTGCGGCCCATTGGATTTGCAGGGTCTTCGTGACGTCATAGTTGGAGGGTGTTGAGAATCAAAATATGTTTGGGCATTTCAAGGTACGGCTTGCGCTTGTGGAGGATCTCCCAAGAGTACTGAACGGATCTGAAAGAGTACTATAAGAACGCAAACAGGTAGGGAGAAGTAGTGGTGGAACTCACCTAAATGGACAAAGCCTTTCTGGCCAATGCTTCAAATGCCGAGAACTCTGAAAGGGCCGAGCACCCTCCCATTGCGGTAGCAAAAGGAAACCCGTTTTTTGTTTTCTTAGTCGTCCATCTGACTACGGCTGGTGGGAAATAACCCTAAAACCAAAGTGGCCAATGAATCCCCCCGTGATTAGTTACAACTTCAGTTCCTTATCCAAAGTTGCTGACAAGCCTCGAGTTTCGAACGGTTTCGGTTTCAGAAGATCTCGCCGAATTCCGAATCCTCGAGTTTGCGGGGAGAGCGCTGCCAGCGTTTGCCGCGCAGCCCCTCCCCTCCGCCCCCCTCTGCCCTCAGCGCCCGGAAGCCGCCTCTAGACACTTGGCGGCTGAAAAGGCGCCCGAGCCGACCTCCAACAAGACAGTGCGGGGGGTTCTCAAAATGGTGGTCCCCTAGTACAATGACAGTTGATTTGATCAGTTCCTCCTCTTTTGTGATCGCTTGTTTGGGAATGATTGATTCACCTGGACCTTCAAACTCCGGGAAACTTCTGGGTGTTTTAGGAGACCCCTACGATTTACCGAATTCTAGTGGTTTAGCTACAACTTGGGCAAAAGCACGTACGAATTGTGTCGTTTCCAGTTGCGCATTGGCCATACAAACTAAATACACCTCGCAGCACTTGCCAACGTGCCAGTGAACACCATGGGATGCCTGGAAACTACGACTGTTTCTGATTTGCGGGAGTTTGCAGGTTTTTGCGGGAGTTGTTGCCGGAAATTTGCGCGCGTTTTGCGGTCAAAATGGGTACGGTTTTTCTGCACCGCACAACTTTGGAATTGCGTTGCATGTTTTGACAAACTTGCGGGCTTCATTTAGTCGAATGCCCCTGCAAACCTTCCTTTACTCTGTCAAAGGCCGCGAGCGTTGCAATAGTGTGTTTTTTGGGAGTTTTAGGAGTTTCAGGTTCTTGCGTCAAAAAGTGCTATTACGATTTCCCGAATATCCAGTCAAAGGCGGAAACTGCTTTTTTTTTCAGGAGGACGAAGGTCCAGGCATGTCTTTTGGGAATTGTTTTCATGTTCCTTGCCTTGCGGTCTCCCATTGAGGTTCCAGCACGTTCTTCCATTCTCGTAAGTCCCCTGAAAAAGAACACACACACACACCATAATCCAGTACTGATAGACTACCCCTTACTGCGAACAAGCAACATATTCTCAAGCAATTGGGATGTTTTGAGAAACCCCCATCTTTCTTTGCCAAACAGAAGCGCCACGTGAACTTGAGATTCGGTTCGCGCAAATCTGGGCCGCCCAAGCAAGCACGCCGCGCTTTGACATGCTCTGACTAGATTGCTGGTTTCCTGTTGGTCTCTTTTTACAGCAACCAAACATGGCACCCTCAAAAAAAACACTCTCGTTTTGAGCCAGCCAGAGAAAGGGGCGTCCAAATGCCTTCGCCTGCAAGCTCTCAGTGATTGCTTGGCCGACTGATCTTGCCTCGCGCTCTGTACATAAAAAGCGGTGGGTGAGAAATGAGCACTCTGTCTCAGAGTCACCGTCAGCGCCTACTGGGCGATTTGAACACAGACACTTGTGTGTCTTCATTTAAGTACCGCGTCCAAATGGGCGAATTATGGGACTTCATCTTGACCGTCTGCAGTGTTGCCTCGGCTGCTTGCCCAAATGCTATTGCAAAGTCGGCACATAGGCAGCGCAAATCAAATACAAGCAAAGATGCTGAGATCGCCCCGGGCCAACCGTAGAGCTGTTCAAGGAGAATTGGGAAAGCTTACTTCCACCCAAGAGCTGGACACTCACAGCACCAAGGCTTTGCAAAGGGAAGCGCAGCACTGCTCAAGCTGCCTTGGCTAGTTCATGTGAAGGCGATGGTTGGGCAACTATTTCGCCTAGTAAAAACACTCAACTCTGGAGGAAGCATGTCGTGCCCAACATGTGCATTGCCGAGAAGTTCGACATAAAAAGACCAGCTGAGTCGTTTTGCCCCTAGCCGGTTGATTCATGTTTGCACCTGCAAACTTGGTTGCTGTTGACACCCCTGCAAAAAGTTCAACTTTTTGGGGGTTTAGTGCAAAACACCTTTATTTCCCCAAAAAAGTTAAAGTCTAAAGATCCAACCCAATAGCGGTCAAGCAAAGGGTGCAATGTTTACTGGCCACCCAAATCCGGCCAAGAGTCTCGGGAGTCCGGAACAGCTCAAACCATGCCATGTATCAAGTTGAACACCTCCATGGGTCCCGGCAGGCGACAGGGGCCACACGCAAAGGGGCACGCCCACATCTTGGGCTCCCACGCCCACTCGCCCACTGCCTCCCTCTCTCCCTCTCTCCCTCATTCCCTCGGCCAAAGTGCCGAAGCATCAGTGCGGGTACTCATCCTCAGCGAAGCCCACACGCCGGAAGGAAAACCAGACGCCAGCCAGTTCACACCGAGGCAGCTCTCCCCGCCCCGGCTAAGACAACTAAGCGCTGGGCGAAACAAACCGCAAGGAACAGCCAAAGAAGTTCACATGGCCCCGTTGGCTGTATGCTCCTTTCAGGTATCTTCAACTGATGGTGGATCCTCCCATTGTTGGTTGGGTTCCTTGTGGCTTCCCTTTCAATCACCCCAAAAAGGGTCCTTTGGGTGGGGTTAGGGTTGGCTTGGGGCTGATTTGTGCTAGGTGTGCGTCTGGTTTGCTTGCTTCGAAGACGTGGTTGTGTGAGCTTCGGGGAAAATCACTAAGGAATTTGGGCCAACCCATTTTTCAGGGTAGCTTCAGGGTCCCTGCCAAAATAAAAGAGAGAGAGAGAGAGACAAACAACATCCAGCCTACCAGCCGCTTCATGCCCCCCCCCGCCCAGAAACCAGAAAAAATCGAACAAACACCCGTAGGAACCATCCAAGAACCCACCTAGCAACCACCACAACCAGCAAGGAGCCACCCAGAAGCCACCCGTCGCTCAAGGCGCTTGTGGGTCCACTCGGTGGCGTTGGCGCTCAAAAAGCTCTGGGCTTTGAGACGCTGAAGCCGGCGCGTGCCCATGACCACCAGGTTCCCCAGGTAGTCCTAGCCCAAAGCCCAAAACCCGCCCGGAAACTCGGACGCGTGGAGGGAGGAGGGGGGAGGAGGAGCGGAATCGTGTTTTTTTCAAGGTTGCCCAGGTAGTCCTGCCGGTGGAAAGGGTCAGAGAAATGTGCCTGATTAAAATTTAACGGGTTGGGGGAGGGGCTGGGGAAAAACGGTGCTCATTGATGTTTCCAAAAATGGATTCAATCGCACGTTTGTCAAGTTTGCGGACTAGGTAAAATATTTGTTTCTTCTGACACGGTCGAACAGCCTGCTGTTGGGTGGTAGAAACAACTCAGTCCATTAAACATCACCCCGCCAAAAGGCAGATCCTTTGAGATGCGCCGAAAGGCTACTGTTTTTCAAAGGTGTGAGAAAAGCCTGTGGCGAGCTTGCTATGTTCAGTGCAAATGGGATCTCAGGTGATCTCAATAAACCAGAGCGTCCCTACACTCCCACCAAGCAGGACATTGCAAGCCCACGGAAGGGGAAGGCTTGCAACGCTAGTGCGGTTTGAAGGTCAGCACGTTGGGCCCTCAGCCAAATGCAGAGAATGCCTTCGAAAGTCGATTCGATAGCCAACCTAAATTCAACCCAAACCAACATAAAGCTATCTAACCCGTGGCTAAGCTCAGGGCGCCTGACAAGAGCCAAATAAATGGTAAGAAAGCGATTGACAATTGACGTGAGCAGCAGTTGTGAAAGATTGTATTGGCCTCAGTCTCATTCCCTACGACATAGGTAGTAAAACATCTTCGAAAATGGCCGACTCACTTGACAAAGCGCTTGCTTGGCACACCATGCCCAAAACAAATCCAAGTGTCGAACAAGATCGGCCTGCTAGTAATGAAAAAAGGCTCTCTTTACATTGGCGATTTTTTGGGGACTCCCCCCCAAAAAAAGTGTGTGGCTACTTTTGGTTTCCCTTTACCCCCCCCCCCCCCCCCAAAAAAAAGGAAAGACATAGAATAAAACAATCATTAAAAAAAACTCAACACTCCAAGCCAAGCTCTCCCAGTGCACTTTAACCCACCCTGTCTTCACGTCCGCCCCCCAAAGAAAGCTGGGATTTGGATGTACAAGGGGGCATGAAACCAGCTCTAGAGCTCACCTTGACGGAAGCCGACAGGTGTCAAGCCTTGAGATCATCCATTCCGTTTTGGGCCCCGCAACCATGGTAAGTTGTTGGAGCTTCCGACCCATTGATTCATTCACACATTCTGCAAAAAAGCAGCGGCTTTGATCGGCTGGTGCCAAAACCGCAAGAAATATAGACCCTGGTGTAGGTCTGTGGGTCATGCTTAAAAAGATTCATCTTGTCACAACTCCCATGTCGCACCTTCGCGAGCGGGAATGTTTAAGGAACAAAGGCTGCGCATTACGAGTTGATGAGCCCTATATGTGCAAAACATTGCCTTCCCACCCGGCTGGGAAGTGCTTCGACCGTTTCGACGGCCTTCACCATGGTGGCAACCCAGGCGATCATCAACTCCTGAACCTTCTCGTTCACCTTCTCGAAGCCTGTCCGAAAAAGGGCCCGTCTTAAGATTGTCCGAGGGCCCAGCCAAAGCCAAGCATGCCACGGACATGGCGTCACAAGGGTTGGTAGAACAAGGGGCTTTGTTTGGCATCGTTTGTTCTAACTTTGGCCAAGCTTGGGTATCATGCCAATACGCAATTCAGCCTGCTTTGGTCGCTTTCTCTTGCCTCAGCATTGATTCAGTTGGACAGCTCCGGCGAGGTTGCAGAAGCGTTTTTGGCAATAAAAGGAGCCCCAGACGGCCTATGGTCTGCTCGATCAGGCGCTTCACCATCTTCTCGTCCTCCGCGCACCAGGCCCCGGCGGTCTCTGCGTCCACGTTGCACAGGGACTCCCGGACTTGCAAGATGCCCTCCTCGCCCTCGGCGGAAGCCGTCTCTTTCGTTTTGGGTTCCAAAATGGATGTCTCGCTTGTTCGCGGGGCCAAGAAATGGTTGTCCCTTTGGTCTTCCTTTGTGGCCACCGAAAAAGGGGCAGCCCGAAATGGGAAATCCCTGATCCAAATCTGCAACCCATAGTGGGGCACCACAACAGCAAGCAATGCATCTGGCAACTCATGAATGGGCTCAAGGAGTGTACCTCTGGGATTTGGACGGACTTTAACCCAATTTTCTGGCCAAGGTCCGTCTTTTGGGCCATGGATTCCCTTTTCCGTTTGCCGGCATTCACGAGTCGCTGGCAAACCGGGAGCCGGGGACGCGTCCCACCCCAGCCCTCCCAGTTGATTGAGCATCCTGCAATGCAAGAAGGTGCTTGGAGGAAACTCTGCCCAAGGGAAGAAAAGCCCTCGAAGGTAGGCAAACAAAACTTGTGTGTGGTTTGGGTGGTGAAAGCCATCTTAGACTAGGCGATGGGTGGCCCCGGTGCCCGGTGGAAGCATAGAAACACGTCAATTGCGGCCAGGACCTTTGCTGGCGACATGAATTGGCCGACTGCTGCTCAACTCATTGGAGCTTGCGTGATGGGACACTTCCGCCTACTTCGAAATACTCCAAAGCTACCATGTTCGAGAAGGAGAGGCTTCCGGGAAGAAAGGTAGAGCGGAGCCAGACATTCGGCTTCCCAGGTTCAGAGCCCGGGGGTTTGGAGGTGTGGGATGGAAAGCCCATCCAAACCATCCAAACCGAAGGGTTGCTTCAACCCAAACCAAAAAGACTTAGAGGAAACCACACAAAAGGAGCCTTGCAGCTCCATAGGGTTCCCTCAGAAACGGCGCCTGACGAAGAAAAAAACTGAGGGAAGCCGACAAAACCCGCGCAGGCCACTCGCACCTTGCGGATCTCCTGGAGGAGGCTGTCCCCCGAGGTCTGCGGCAGAATGAAGGTCACCTGCTTCGCTTCAACCCGACCTTCAAACGGCTGTGGGTCAAAAATAGGGTAACCCAAAATGAACCCCCGGGTAAATGGAACCAAGGACTAAAACCTGCGGTCCATTGGTGGTTTCATTTTGGCCCATACCCAAATCAGCTTCACTCGAGAAGGGGGGTTTGGTGGATAGGTCTCCCTTTAATCTCTGCAAGGGGATCAAATCCGAATCCAAGCCACGAAGCCAAGCCACCCACTGGGGTAAACGTGAGCCCTAAAGGCAAGTCGCTTTGGCCCATGGCCCGGCTTGGGATTTATTTATTTTTTTTTGCCGGGCTTTGGCGGTCGCTTGCTGGCTGCTAGTCACTGTCCCCTCGCGCAATCCAGCAGCGCACCGCCCGATGTGCAGAATTGGAGATGATTTGCTTTTCATCCTGCAGGCAATTCATAGTTGCCTGCTGGCTAGCTCTGGCTACTTTCTGAAAACAAGGGAATGCAAGGGCTGGCTCTGACCACCGTGTGCTTTTCTTTTACCGTGTGCTTTTCTTTTCGCACTGGCCTAAGCAACAGCCAGCGTCTCCACATACAAGAAGCCGGGCTTGCAACGGAACTCCCCTCCTAGCGCTCACACACCATGGCACCTCGATTTCCAGCACCACCGCCGAGTACTGCTCAAAGATGGTCCAAATCCTGCGATGCACCCCCCCATCGGTTTCCTTTTCGGGCGTCAAACAGGAAAGCTACACCAAAAAGAGCAGGGGCTCCGACAAAAAAAGCTTGCTGACATGGGCCGAAGATCTCAGGAACCGCTTGGCTGGCTTGTCCGGCTTGGTTTCAACTGGCGAGGGTTCAAATCCCGAGGCCGCAAGAACACGAGCTACAGAGTCAATCCAGTTGAGGTGCAATGGTGACGGCCGGAAAGAACCCCCACCAAAAGAGAGTAGCTTCATATTGGGAAAGCTCTCCATCCGAAACAGGTACCCTCAAACAAACACGACGTGTGTGAATCGTCGGCCCCCTTTTTTGGATGGTATTTAAATGGTAATCAAAGGAAAACTGCTGTTTGAGAAACCCAAACCTAAGAATGTTGAGAACTTGTTGGCGAACCCTAGCAAGACCAGTTGAATGGGATTGACGTTCAACTTTCTGAGATTTGGAGGCAGGTCTGGTGATATGATGCTGGAGCCAAGTTCAGGCTCCCAGTCTCCAAACATTTGGCTCGAGGTTCGGTGAAAAATCCTGACAAATGCTCCATTTGGGAGACAAGGAGCATGGGCATGCCAACAACAACTCGGCCCCCCTCCCTCCAATTGGACGAACCACTCTCGCATCCTTTGGCTCATTTCGCCGTTTAGCCGTGAGGTGGAGTTGGTCGTTGGCTCTTGCTCCTATTCTGATGCACCCCGAATTGCGCCCATTTGGAGCGCGTGAGGTTTCTCTGCTGGCGCGGCTCCTGGAGAGGTAGGCCGGCTGGTCCCAGTGGTCCAAGAGCGCCACCATCCGCCCGATGCGCTGCAAGTTCTCTTCGAAGACCTGCGAAAGGTCGTTGCTCGTAGCGTGGGTTCCCCCGTGGGGTTCAGGATTGATAAACAACTGGTCGATTTTGAGAAAGAAAGGAGGACGTGTCCCCTGTAGTGGGAGTACAGGATGAATAAACATGATCGAGATGGCGGTGTCCCTTGTTAGTGGAGGTTCAGGGTTAATAGACAACCGGCTGATGTTGAGAAAGGGGGTTCGGTGTCCCCCATTTAGTGGGGGAGAACATCACTTCAAACGGGTTGAGTTCTCTGGGGTCAACATTGCCCCGCCTAAGCTTGAAAGCCAAAAACCGCCATGCCTCCATTTTAGGGCCCAAGTGGCCCTTCAGCGTGCGCCTGACGTTGCCCCAGCTGCACTTCCCCGATCAACGTGGCGTTCCACGACCCGCCAGAAGGTTCCTTCGGTGTCCTTTCCAGTTTTCCCTTGCTTAAAACCTCCCCACCCATTCCAAATACCAGAAGGAGAAAACAAAAAAACAAAGGGTGGCCAAGGCCGCCAGCAACACATTACTTGAAGGGGCAGGGAAGATAGCAAGTGGTTAGCAACCATGGCTCTAACCCGCCAAGGGGACGTACATGGTAGTCGGGGTGCAACTTTTCTTGCATGCGTGTTCCTTCCGTGGCAGTTGCCGACTGCCCTTCAGGCCGGCGTTGGGTTGAGCGCCATCCTGCTTAATCCGCAGGGGCCGGGGCATGCGCTCCGGTTGGAACCCGCCTTTGGTGTCACTTTCAGAAGGCAAGTGAAGCCCAGGAATCCCTGGTACTGATCAAAACTCAACTAGTTGGTTATTAAGATAAGGGCTATCAAAATTTCGGGTCCCCAAAGTAGGGGGTGACAAACACTCAAAAGCTTCAACAAGACAGGTGGCCGGGAAGCAGTTTGTGCGACGCGCATGCGGGGCAATGCTTTCGGAAACCAAGCCATCGAGGGTCAAAACAACAGGAGCACCTCCGTCTTTCTCAAAGTCCCCTATGGTCTGTTTACATGTGGTTTCCGATGTACAATTTAACCACACGAAAATGGGACCCTGGCACTTTTTTGGTAGGGGGCCCCAACAATTTTCCCGGTGCTCCGCTCGGTTTCCCCGTAGGAAACCCCCAAAAAATCAAACCGCCCGGCCTCCCCGAGGCTCCAGTCCCGGCTGCCGGCGCCCTCGTGGTCCAGCAGTATGCGGTACTGGTTGTTCACGAAGAAGCACATGTACAAAAACGTGGTGCCCGGGACCAGCTTGCTCCTGAGCCACTGAGACGTCAATGTGTCTGTTTTTTTTTTTGCTTCTCCCTTCACTCTGGTAGTTGTTTTTGACTTGTTGCAACAATATTCGGAATGTTGGTCCTTCATTATGTGGTTGTTGAGGTTTTTTTTGGTGCTCCTTCAGTCTGGTGTTTAAAAAATGGTGAGCACATAGATACCGACATAATTTCACACATATCAGAACACCCCCCATGGCCATCACAAGGTTTGTTCTGTGACCTCTGGGCCATTGTGGGTGGTCCCGTCAAATGTTTATTGTGTTGTTGCTTTTTCGGACTTCCCAAGGCAACACTTGGTTTGTTTGGCACCCGCTTTAGCACCAACGGCCTGCCGACTTTTCTCCCATATCCAAATCCCCAATTATTGTCCAAAGGCGTTGGATTGGCCCACCTTGTGTCACCTGTTGACTAGGGGATGCTTGGGGCAGGTGTTTAGGTGTTTCCTACCAGACCCCGTTGAGTCAATTGTGTGGTTTCCATGCCACGGCTCACTTGGCCTCCATTCATGGAAACCAGTGGGAAACTCCAAACCCTGGGTTTCCAAACCCTGGGTGTCCTGCGTCGTGTTTCAAACAAACAGTATGTGTTTGTCGCCTGTGCGCCGGCTTTGTTCGACTTTAAATAGGTTTCCTAGGCTTTACTTCCCTACAGATTGGCGTGAAACTCAAAAACTACCCATGTCGAGGAAACTGCGTTCGAAATAAACGGACGAAACCCTTTTGGGAAACGCAGGCTAATTTGTAGAAGCGCAACTCAGTTGCCAAGTTTGGATGAAATGAAAGGTGATCAGCTTTTGGTGCCAAAATGATTGCCAAATCGGGGAAACCAACATACTAGACCCAGGTGCTCTGCGCTCCCCCCCCCCCAACAAAAAAAAAGAAAGAAAAAAACGCGCCAAAAGGCTGGTCCATCCAGGAGCGGAGGGCACTGCGCACCTGGCGCAGAAACATGGGCACCCGAACCCTGAAAGAGTAGCCTTGAGAGAATTCACCCCAGAATTGTCAGGGCAAATTCAGACAATACCCCTTGTTTCAGGCTAGTCTGCAGGGCCAAGCGTGAATTTGGGACACCATTTTGATTCAGGGGGGACACGTGACCACATGTAACCTGACAAGGGGGGCCCCTCTGCTACGTTCCGTGGACAAATGACTTTAGCCATGAAAATTGAGGAGAGCCCGTACCAGCAAATAGACACAGAATGTGTACACTCCCTCAGACTAACATGGCAGCTCTCAGAAGGCCTCTGTAAATGGATCCAAGTCTTCCAAAGGGGTCCTGGGAGCTTCCATGATAGCCTGAGGGAGGATATGCAACAACTAATTTTTGGCACGTTTACAGGCGCCCCGAAATCCGGTTGCCTCATTTTAAGAAGCCATCCAAGGGAAGGTTGCCCCTCATTTGTCTTAAACAAAATGCACTTCCCGTGTCTGGGTGGTTAAATTCCATGCCAGAATGATGCACATCTGGAGCCGGCTGACTATGATTCTAACTCACCGGAAGTCCTTGCTCCTTGCCTTCACAGGAGGGAAGCAACGAGTAAGGCAACAGTTGCGACTTTGAGCGTGCCAGCCGACCTTACATCAATTGCACAAGGCGCAAAGACCACACGAAGCAAAGCCCGGGAGCAAAGAGCCAACAAAAATCACAACAAAACAAATATCAACCAACCAACCAACCAATCAAGCAAATCAAATCAAGCAAATCAAATCCAAGCAAACCAAATCAAATCAAAGCAAAGCAAATAAGATTAAATCAATCAATCAATCAATCAATCAATCAATCAATCAATCAATCAATCAATCAAATCAAGCACTCAATCAATCAATCAATCAATCAATCAATCAATCAATCAATCAATCAATCAATCAATCAATCAATCAATCAATCAAATCAATCAATCAATCAATCAATCAATCAATCAATCAAATCAATCAATCCAATCAACTCAATCAATCAAATCAATCGAATCAATCGAATCAATCGAATCAATCGAATCAATCGAATCAATCAAATCAATCAAATCAATCAAATCAATCAAATCAATCAAAACAATCAAATCAATCAAATCAATCAAATCACTCACTCACTCAATCAATCAAATCAATTCAATTCAATTCAAATCAAATCACATAAATTCAATTCAATCAATCAATTCAACTCAATTCAATTCAATTCAATTCAATCAATCAATCAATCAATCAATCAATCAATCAAGCAATCACTCAATCAATCAAATCAATCAATAATAAATGAATAAATGAATAAATTAATTAAAAAAATAAAAATAAAAAAAAAAAACATAAAAAAACATAAAAAAAAAATCAGTCAGTCAGTCAGTCAGTCAGTCAGCCAATCAATCAATCAATCAATCAATCAATCAATCAATCAATCAATCAATCGATCGATCGATCGATCGATCGATCGATCGATCAATCCATCAAAACAAACAAGCAAACGACCAACCCACGCACCACCAGCATCCGGAGTGGCTACTGCTTTAAGGGCAACGCGGACTTTCCAACAGACGAGGCGCCAGCGTCACCGAGTAACTCCAGGCCCAGGACAGGAAGTGGGTGCACTGCCTCCGGTGCCTTTGGTCCACTACCTAAGCGAAACCAAATCCGAGCTATGCGGATCGATACCGAATGACCATCCTTCCATTTGGCTTTTCGACCCCTGGAAAAAAACAAAAAACAACATTTCCAGTAGTGATAGATTCCCAGTAAAACCAAGGGGACACACTAAAAACTAAAAACAACCTTAAGCAAATGGAAGTATCCGGTGGATGGTCCGGTCGGCCGGGACCCAAAAGAAAACCCAAGCAGCACCCAAGAAAGCCCCTAACGACCCGAGTCGCCATTCGCTCCCGTTTGGGTTGAGGGGGCGGAGGGAAGGGACCTTGTCAACTGGAAAATTGGTGCAGCCCATTTCCGAAAAGTGGGTTTGACTTCTTTCCGCATTTGCATTTGGAAACTTAAGACCTAGTACTATCAAAGCGAGCTGATTGTGTCGGCCAGCATGGTTGGGCCACGGGGCTTTTGCTCTGCGTATCCTCCGAAAGTCGTGCAGCCAAGCGCCGGGTGTGCAAGCAAGTATCGAGCAAGTGATGCTCTTTGCAGGATGCCAAGGGCCTCCCCCCAACAAAGCACTTTGGTTTGACAGCCGCTTGTTTCCGCACATTGGGGCGGCCCGAGGCACACACACTCTTCAGACCAATCCATATCTCAACTCGACCAAACCTGGAAGTGCATTGGTACAGGAAAATATACAGGTTATTTGCCAAATACCCAACAAAAACGAGTTGGTTTCCTGCCGAATTTCCTCTTCGCCGTTTTCTTGGAAACCCGAATCGCTGATAGCTGGGGTTCTAATTTCAAAAGGGAAGAAAGGTGCCTCTCGGCAGGCTTTCTTTGGACTGGAAAGCGCGAAAGGCATAGGCTGGCCCTGGCAAGGAGGGTCTGTAGACCCAGCTGGCGCTGGCAAGGAGGGGTCTCCAGGCCCGTGCTTATTGGTTGGAGCGCAGTTGCCAGCATTCAGTCAGTTTGCCTTCAAAGGACAAACGCCATACAAATGCATCATAACATGTGATTTCTACACCCGAAACATGCTTAATCAGTTTAAACATAGTTTTACTACGCTAATGGTTTCTAAAACTCTCTCCCGTCCCGTTCTTCGCGCACACTGCTTGCCAGGCAGCATCCACCAGGGCACAGCCCGGCATACCATCGCGGGGGCACAGCAAATCCCGACCAATGGGCTCTTCCCTGAGGAAGAATGCATCCTGAGACCGCAGATTCGCCCTGTGCATCTCGTCGGTTCCCTTTCTGGGGTTGGGATGAACAAGGTTGAATGAAACACAGGAACCCGGGTGAAAATCAGCTTCCCAAATTGGCACACCCTTTAAAAACAACCCTGTCTGGAGCCTTTGGAAAACGGCATGCACCTCTTTGGCTTATAACAACCCAACCGCATGGGGGGGTGATCCGGGATCCCGTTGACCCGGGAGTAGGGAGCAAATTGGACGGAACGCTTCACTTGTTCAGAGTTCCTCATAGTGCTGTTGTTTAGTAGTTATCTAGCCCCTTCTATGCTTGTAGCTTTCACGGCAGCCTCCTTGAGCTTGCCCTCGGGCACAAAAATGCATCTGAGTGGCCATGACATCTCATTATTTTCTAGAGGGGCAGGGTGGTCAACATCCTCCTAGTTTCTGAAGCAAGGAACCCGCATAGCGACTCCTTTTCTACGCCACGCAGAAAAGAGCACGGAAAACCGAAGTCCCAAAATTTCCCAACTGGGCTTGTTCTTTTTCGGGGAGTTTCCCAGGATTCGCCGGTTTCCTTCTCCCTTACCCCAAAAAGCCCCCAACTTCTCGAGCCGCAAAACCCCAAAACTTCGAGCGCTCGTGGCTCCTTGAGGTCGTAGAAGTTGGGGTTCTCCATCCGGCTCCTCACGGACGGGTCCCACCCAACTGCGACCACTTCTCCGGGGAGTTCGGTCCAACCCAACATCGCCGGGGCAATGAAACCAGTTGATAGCCATTCGGCGGTCCTGGCTTGTGATTTTCGTTCAAGCGGCAGCCACAGCCCGTTTGGTTCATTGGGGGGGGCGTCTCTGCTTAAAGGTGCCTTTGTTTGGCTGGTTTTAAAGGGGAATAGCTAAAAATCCTAATTTTTGAGGGTCTGATTCCTATTTTGAGACAAACCTAACTTATTCAGACAACGATCTGCCAAGTTTTGCATACGCAATCCTCCAATTGCCCAGCTGGTTTGCAACTTGGCTCCTGCCCTGTGCCAAATCCAGAAACTCCTCGGACAGTAGGAAAGCCACGCTGACGCCGGCCTGAACTGACGAGTTTTCGGATTGCAAATAACAAAGTAATGCCCTGCATTCCGTGTGTGTGTGTGTAGCGTTCCCTTCCTGAGTGGGTTGGCCAAACAAAGTCGTGGTTTTGACTAAAATTGAATTGGTTCAAGCCCACAAAGTTGAAAGTCCGGGAACCCCCACGGAACCTATTTTCCACATGGATGACCTAAACAGCCCCTTTTGGCCCATTCTTTAGCACTTTCCCTTTTGGTGGGGGTGCTCTGGGAATCATGAGGCTCCCCCCCATAATCCGCCGGGATATACATGCTCCGCTGGTTGAAGCGGGAAAACAAACAACTTGCATCTGCTTCAGCACCTTGGACGTCCTCGAGGCTTTGGAGCAACTGGAAGCAGTTCAGCTTCAAAGCAGGGCCGGACAACTCAAAGGAACTCCGCATGGATGTCATACGTGGTCACACATACAAAAGTCTTATATCGCAATACGTGATCATACGCGACATTCTTAAAGCTCCACTAACATTTCCAGCCCCATTAGCATTTTCCTCGAACGCAGATTTGTCACTATAGACTTTTGCCACTATGAACTTATGGACTGTTTTTTTTGTTTCTCCTGTTGCTGTCCCTTGAAAACCGCCAACAAATTGGTAGCCTCAAAACAAGACACACCCAAAAGCTGCGGGTTCTATGAATTTCACTTCTCAAACTTCAGCGCTGGCGGGCTTTTTAGAATCCTTAGAGGAGGAATCAACAAATACAAAGCACATTCTTCGCCATCAAATTTGTTTTCTTTGCATCCATCAAACTTGATCTAGTTGAACTTGGTGCGTACGTATGCCACCTTGGCAGCAGGACAGCAGCAAAATCACGGCGTCGCGCTCAAACATGCAAGAACTCCTGCTGAACATAGCTGCTGTCCCCACCGCAGTCAGGATGGCCCCAAGTGACGACTGCTCCACAAGACAAAATAGCAGCAAAAGCAGAGTTTGTGGCGTGAACCTGCTGCACATTTCTCAGCTGATCTTGGACAGCAATGCTGTCACCGCCAGAATCACGCTTGCCCCAGGTGATGATGCTCCCATCTGCCAGGATGGCAGCAAATGCAGCCTGTGTAGATTGAATTTGATGCACGTTTCTCAGTTGACCTTGGACAGCACTGCTGTCACCACCACCTGAAGGATTGCCCCAGGTGACAACTGCTCCATCAGCCAAGGTGGCAGCAAAAGCACTATGTGTGGCTTGAATTAGCTGCACATTTCTCAGCTGGTCTTGGACAGCCTTGCTGTCACCACCATGGTCTTGACGGCCCCAAGTGACGACTGCGCCATCTGCCAAAATGGCAGCAAAAGCAGATTTCGTGGCTTGAATTTGCTGCACGTTCCTCAGCTGATCTTGGACAGCACTGCTATCACCACCAGAGCCACGCTCGCCCCAGCTGAAGACCCTCCCATCTGCCAGGATGGCAGCAAATGCAGCCTGTGTGGCTTGAATTTGCTGCACGTTTCTCAGCTGATCTTGGACGGCACTGCTGTCACCACCACATGAAGCATTGCCCCAGGTGACGACTGCTCCATCTGCCAAGATGGCCGCAAAAGCACGACGTGTGGCTTGAATTTGCTGCACATTTCTTAGCTGATCTTGGACAGCCTTGCTGTCACCACCAAAAGTCCGATGGCCCCAGGTGACAACTGCTCCATCTGCCAAAATGGCGGCAAAAGCAGATTTCGTGGCTTGAATTCGCTGCACATTCCTCAACTGACGTTGGACATCAATGCTGTTACCACCATTGAAAGGCTCACCCCAAGTGACGACTGCTCCATCAGCCAAGATGGCCGCAAAAGCAGTATCTGTGGCTTGAATCTCACGTACATCTGTCAGCTGCTCTTTGACATCACTGAAGTTAGCCTCATATTTGCGACTACCCCAACTGACGACTGTTCCATCAGCCAGGATGGCAGCAAATGCATCCTGTGTGGCTTGCATCTTCTGCACATTTCTCAGCTGATCTTGGACAGCCCTGCTGTCACCACCATGATCATGACGGCCCCAAGTGACCACTCTGTCCCCAACACAGCAGAATAGAGTGAAAGCAGATGCTGTTGCACTTCCATGAGCCTGTCGTCGAAGAGCACTCAGGTTGTCTCCATCTCGAATCCCAGCTTCGTTCAAGGATTGCTCTGCGAGCAAGACCCTTCCATCTGAAGAAACCAGCCTCAAGAAGCATTCTCCCAGAGCTTCCTGTGCAGCCAGTGTCACATCTGCAACCCTGGAGGTCTGGTCAGAGGAAAGAACAGTAGTTCGACCACTAAACAAGCTTACAGTAATTTGAAGCATATCCACTTGGCAACGCCGCAGCCATGCGCGGCAGTGCTGCTTTTAAACGATAGCCCAAATAGCTACGGCAAGTCGCAGTGACAGCCTCGCAGTCTTGATGATTTGTTGCAAAGAGTGGCGGAGCTTTGAATGCTCTTCAGGTTCTTCACTCGGCAGTGAAGCGAAACCTACGGGCAAGTCCGAAAAATTGTTCTCTCTGATGTCATTGTGGCGCCTTTTGCCCATATTTTTGTAATACTGGTTTGGTATCCCTCTACAGGTGGACAGCTGTTGATCCATCAATGGCGCCTCTGATTTTCTCGATGTGGTTTCGGATTGATGTCGACCCTTCAGCGCTTTGTCAGATACAAGGTGCGTGATGATCGTGCGCTGTTGTCAGACACACGGCGATTCCTGCACAACCCTGGAGTTGTTGTTTGCATTCAGTGACGTTCTTGCAAGATGGTTGCTCGCTGCATGTTGACATGGAACCAGACAAACAGTTCATTTGCAAATTCGCTGCATCATGCTGACCCCGGATTTCTAAGCCTATCCCACTAATAGGGTTCTTCCCCGAAGACTTTCAGCCCCCCTAAAAACCAGAGAAAAAAGGGGGGTCACCGGGTTCCCTGAGTCAAAATCCACCAGGATTTCTGTATCTGAGGTTCTGTCCCCAACCGAGCCCCGCCTCCTCACTCTGGCGCTTCCGCACGCCTTGCAACCTCCGGTGAAACGAACATGTGGCGAACCAGCAAAGCAAACACAGCACCATGTCTCTCTGAAATTGAAACTGATTTGCTTGTGACTTGGGTAATTCCTCATGCGTCCTCAACACGAGACAAACACACATATATATATATATATACATAATCATATCTACATATGTTTGCTGAGCGTCATGCAAACCCAAAATCCGCAATCACAAGCTCAACCACCCAAAGCACGAACACTGAGCCATCTCGCGTTCAGGCTCAATGCACGATTCCCCTTTTGGAGTACACGTGCCCGCGTTTTCATAAGCCCCAAACACTCAAAGAACATCAGAGCCACAAGGGCTGGTGATTGGACCACCCCATTTTGCTGGATGTGGCACGTGCATGGAGATGAATCAGTTGGAAAGCAAGAGTAGCATGTGTATATGCATATGTGGATGTACATTTATACATCATACATATCACAAACATATATATATATAGATGATTGACCAAAACAAATCCATGAAAGGTAACTTACCCCGTTCCCGCACAGAATCTTGGGTGAGGATGGGGACATTCATGGGGGGGGGGGGGCACTCAATGGGGCTTGTAAGGAGCGATCCCCGTGCTTCAATTTCCTTCAACATCATTCAAATTGATCTGGGGTGAATTTCGGACACATAGTGTGTGGATTTGCGCTTGATGTCCGCCAATAATGCTGAGGTGTCGACTGTCAGGAGCAAATGCTTAGAATTATCTAGCCATCAAGGCAGAAATGTACCAACCAAGCAACTGGCCAGCCAGCCAAACAACAAGTTTAGTCAACTGAAAAATAGCAATGCGGTGTGCCCCTCTACAGTTTAGCCATCACAAACAGATGTTCTTTGCATTTTCTAATGAATGTGTTTATTGTTGTTGGCATGTGTTTTTTGTTTTGTTTGCATTTTGCTGGATGCTTTGGTCGTTTCAATGCGTTTGATGTGTGTACGTAGCAATTGCGGGCTTTGGAACAAAACACACACAGCCAAAAACAACATTTGAGCTGTCATGTTCCACGCCACCCAGCTGGACACCTGTGTGAAACTCTTCCAGGCATGTTCCGTCATGACAGAAGGATTTGGAACAAAACAGGCATTTGGAATGACACAGAAAGTGCCGAATGGAAAGGTATTTTACTGGATGTGTTGGAATGCAGCAGTAGCCCTTTGATTAGCAGCCCTGGGGTTATGGATGACAGAAGCAATCAAGTACTTGCCTCCAACGAACAAACAAGGAAGCACGCAAGCAAGCAGATAAGCAAACAAACCAAAAATCAAACAACCAACCAAACAAACAATCAAACAAAGAAACAAGCAGGAAGACAGCCCATGGAACAGGCCCGTCCAGACGTGGCGCGTGCTGCTGAAGCGTTGGTGGCTCCAGCCCCTTGCAGCCAGCTCCTCGCGAGCGCGACTTGATGCTGGTTCTCTGTGCCCATTTCAGTGACCCTGGTAGAAAAAAACGGAGCCCTTTTTCGGGGTGACGGTTCTGTGAGGAAACAATCAATCAAATAGGGGACGAAGACTTGGTGCTACTGAATGGGTGTGACATCCTGGGTCACCAAGCCTCCCACCCAAACATTGCGCTCTTGCATTGAGGGAAACCAGTGAAATGGCCATGATGCAGCGCTTCATCCCTGCAAAACCGGGAAATGCTCTGGATGACCAATACCCACTTCGCACAAGTTGGTAAGCTTTACCAGGGCTTCATCCGGGCCAACAGGATACTGTCAATACACTGTCCATCCACAGTAGGGGGCTCATCACCAAATAAAGGGAGCCCTTGAATTTCCATTCGAAACAAGCCCAACATGTCCTGCGCAACTGAGGGATCCCGCAAATGAGGGGGGGCTCATCTACACTCCTCTGTAAACCACCGCCAGCACCAGTCTCGCTCTCGCTCTCTCTCTCTCTCTCTCTCTCTCTCTTTCTCTCTCTCTCTGGTTCTCTCGAGTTTCGCTTCAAAGGTACACCCTCAAACAAGAACTCAGCTCACCAACCTGCTTTTGATTGGCCATGTTGGAAAAGGGCAAGCCAACCCGAACTTGGGATGTTCCTCATGCGGAGACAAGCCCCCGTGGGAATCAAGAAAAAATCATTTGGGTCCCAAACTTTGCAATCCGGAAATTGCCCCGGCGGTGGGGCGAACCACTGCCGTGACTAGAAGGGTCCCAAATGGGTCCCAAAATGTCCCAAATCTGATCCGGAACTAGAACGTTGCACATCTATGAACTTCAACTTCCCTCCAATTGGCGCCGTGCTTCCCATTTGCCCTCGGCAAGAACCAGCAGGTCCATCCCCCTCCAAACCAACCCAGGGCCTGAAAAAAGGGATATGTGCCTTTCAGGGGCTCGAATGTTCCATTGGGTCATCAAAAGGCTCAACCCTCCGGGTAACCATTGGACCTGAAAACCGTTTTCAGGGACCAAGCTCGATCCCTTGAACCTCAAGGACCCGCGGCACCGGACCTTCTGGAGCTTCAGGATGCGCTCGCTGCTGCCTTCCCAACAGGCCTCGCAACGGAGGCGGCAAAAGGGCGGGTGGATACGCATGATACGCCAAACACCGGTCGCTTGTTTTTTGTTTTTCTTCTTCACCTGTGGCTGTGTCTGGCTCTTTTTGTTTCTTTTTTTTGACTTGTTGGATGCCAAGTTCAAGAAGGCCAAAGACTGACATTCAACTTTGATGGGGTGGGCAAGTTTTCAACATGGGATGTGATTTGCTACGGCTGGCCCTTTTTCGCGTTTTCAATTGAAGCGAACCAAACATTGGCCTGCGTTCTTGGCCCTAGGTCCCATAAGAACCCTTATGATGGCTGCAAGGGTTGCTGACATAGGTGTCCAATTGGTCAAATAGACGGCACGGGTACCCTCCCACCAATTGACGGAACCTGACAGGGTGGGTCCTGAAAGACCATGTTCCTTTTAAAGGGACCCCCAGTCAGGTTCCATGTCAATTGGCTGGACGGTGAATACTTTGTTTGCCAACCTGTAACTGCAAGCCATGTTCAACCAAACTACTGTAGAAAGGGCCACGTTCGGTTGCTGACCATCCCAGGAACCCTAAGTCAAGGAGTATGGCCCGTGCTGACAATGTTACCACCATAAATTTAAACCCATGGCTCACCCAAAACCGATGGCCTGCCAGAATGGATCCCCCAAACAGGGATGTGAGGATCCCTGCGCGCTCTAGAGAAAAACAACTACACGGGAACCAAATCCCCAAGCGACAATTGAACAGCACAGGCTCATACAATTCCTCAATGCATAGTCTTCATTTGGCGCACCATTGGAAACAAGAGGTGCAACCTGTGGCTGGTGGCAACAAACTCTTCCCCAACTTAAAGCAGAAAGACCTCTAAGAACTAGGCTGAAGGGAGGGTCAGGGACAGCGTGATCTCTCCCAACTGATCGATTTGATTGGCCACAAGCGCCGGGAAGGCCAGTCAGTCTCAGCCGTTCTTGACGACTAACATGCTTGCCGGAGGTCGCATCGCATACAACACATACAACTACCCTCCCAAGAATCAGTTTAGCCCCCCCCCCTCCAGCCCACCCCAAGAATCAGTTTAGCTTGGCGCCCTTTGATTCGTTGGACCAACCCGCGCCTCCCTTCCTTCGCTTCCCGGGCAGGCGGGACTCCGTTGCAAAACGCCCGCATGGGAAGTTCCCTCGACTTCGCAAGGCTTCCTTTGGTGCAGAAAAGTGGCCACCCGGGCATGCGTCCGAAGAGCAAAACACTTCAATAAAGGGCGGCGTTCCTTGTTGTTGCCGGCAACCATCATACCTCACAAGAAAAAGAAAAAAGAAGAAACCAAAAAACATCCAATGCTAATGATGTTGGCCCATCCTTGCTCTACCCCCCCCCGCTCCCTGCCGCCAATCCCCCCGCGTACTCCGCTCGGCGTGCCTTCTCGAGCTCCGCCAGCAGCTGCACCTCCCGGAGCTGCCGCGCCCGCAGCCGACGCTGGCCCTGGCGCCTCGTTTCGTTTCGGGTGGGCGGGTTCCACCTGCGGGTGGAGGGCGGGGGGGGGGGGGGGGCCGCGCTGCCAACTATGTTGTTGTATTTTTTGTCGGTTTTTGTTTGTTGGGTTGGGAGCTTAGGGGGCCACCAATCAAGCGACACCAGAAATACGTCAGATTTAGCAAACATGATGAAACATGATTTGTGGAGTCGAGTTGGGCCGGGTTGGGATCTATATCTTACTCCCAGCAATTCAAAGGAAATCCGCTGAACTGGGCTGAGAGAACGTGTTTGCTTCAGGTTCTTGCCATTTTACTTTTCGGGGGGGGGAGGGAAGGGGTCTGGTCAAAAGTCAACATGTGTTTCAAAGGATGCCTCGGCTTTGCCGAAAGCCCCAACCCCCAAGCGTCCGTTGCCACATTGGCTGAGTGCAGCCCCGAAAGGCAGTCAAGCCCAAAGCCGCAAACATGGGGGTACCCTATATACATGGGGATGGGGCCGTTTCAGGCGCATTGCAAATCCCAGTCAATCATTCTGGTTGGGAAAGCACCGTAAAGCAAGACTGGACGGGCGTACCCCTTCACCCACTAACATCATCTAACATCTATGTCTGACTCACCTAGAACGATGCCCAGAAGGAACCTTCCAAGAAAAAGTCCTCACTTGGCATCTCAGCTGCTGGGAATCCAGCTGCCCTCCACTTCGCGCGCAGGCCATTGAACCAAGCTGGCTTGTTGGGGGTTGACAAATTTTCGCGGGGAAGCCACTACACACAAAGGAAGCTAGTTGGGTCACCCTGAAAAAAAAAGAAGGGGTTCTAGCAAATGGGTTCCAGGATGCTGCACATGATTGTCCTGTGCAGGCTGCAACTGGTTCATTCGAACCCGTTCAACGGTCTGACTTAGAGAGCGCTGGGGCAATCAAGCGTGTCTCAACATAGGGAATCCCAAAAAAGAAAAAGCAATCTAAAACTGTCATTATGGGTGGCTACAATAATTTGACTCCGGGGTTGGGCTAATTACTTAACATGATCGCCAACAAAAAATCGTCACTGCCGTGGACAAAAAAGCGAAGATGTAACTCTTCAGCTCCTTGCAGACAACTCAGACATCTAACAAGGCCCAACAAAGAGAAAAAAAAGGACCCCGGCACCACCAGACACCCAAACCACTCAAGGGTCAATGGGGGGCCTGTGGTCTGCGGGAATCACCCGCCTCAGCACCGCCAACAGGCGCAGCAGCAGGGCGCAGGCGGCGCCCATGCCGAAGGACTGCAGCGCCGGCACCAGGGTCGCTTCCGGGCGGATGCCCTGACCCGAGCCAACCGCGAACCGCAGGACGATGGAGAACTTGGCCCTGCTGAAACCATGTGGTTTCCCGAATGGTTGTTTGAGGTTGCCAGCTTTTTGGATGGCTGGTAAAACGAATAGTTGGTTGAGGGTACCAGCTTTTTGGAGGGCTTCGATTCAAGTAAAACGGAAGGACAAACCACCAAGTTGAAACCATGCAGCCGCCGGTTGGACGTGGAAAACCCGGCAGTTTCCGGTTGAAATGGGTCCCTTTGGAGGGTCCATGCTCGTTTGCCACCCGGGGGGGGGGAGCGTCAATTACCCTTTGTAGGGTTAAGGGTGACCAAGCTGGGGGGTAGAGCATCCATCCAGCACCTCGAAGAAAACTCCTTTCAACATGACCCGGACACAACAATGTTGTGTCAGCACGTTGCATCCACCAAAAAAAGAAAGAAAACAGACTGGAGTGGATGGAACGCCCCGCCTACCTTAAGGGGATTCCCTTTGTCTAGCATTCCCACACAAAGGAAATTGGAACCATAAAAAACGGAACTCCAGGGGTCCCCCCTCCCCTTCCATTTTCAAGGCTCAGGATTCCAAGGCTGCCAAGTGGCAGAGGACATGCCCAGGTAGACCAGCGCGGCAATGGCGATGAGAAACATGCACGCCCAAACCTGGGGCGAAGGCGGCCTTCCCGACGCGCTTTTTTTTTCAGGTTGAGAGGAAAACCGTTGGCCCTTAGAAGTAGGGCTTGGCTCTCTTGCACACACCCAGGAGTGTCCGATACCTTTGAGGCAGAGGTGGCAATTTCACGGTAAATTGGCCCAGAGGCAGAGGTGTTTCGCAGCACAGAAAGCGTGCCCCGCCCTTGTGGATATCTTTTCTGGCTTGCTTTTGTCAGAAACACCTGGCGTGAGCGCAAGGAACATGTGGGAGTTGATCAAATGGTATTTTACATGGGATGACCATCAATTCACAAAAACATGACTTTCCCACCCAAAAGAAAAAGTTAGAGACCAGAAATACTGATCAACCCCCATATGATTTGTCGCTAAAATCATGCAGCAAAAGTGACGTACAGAACCGCCCGGTGAAGCCCCCTTGGAATGGAAATCGTGATCTACCATGGCTTGTGGCTGGCTAGCTTGCAACCTGTGGGGAAACGGAGTCTGCCGGCACCTCGGCAAGCCGACACCCCGATCACAATCCAGCAGGGGATCTGGAAAATCCGGGGTTCCAATTGTGAAAGATGGCCTCATGGGTTTCGAGCTTGGTTTACCCCCTCTTAGTCTCTGGTTGAGCCTCTTAGAAAGGACCCAAAAAGGCCCCTAAAATAGCAAGGCGGTGTAGGTTGCCCGTCTGTGCGGGCCTAAGCTACCAAGCAGAATTTCGTATCATAGAAAGCCTGCCCACAAAAGTTTGCCAGAGTCAGGCCCTTTGCCCAGTTGCCACCCTCAGACCACAAAAAGCGGCACTCTGCTTTTTGGGGGCGACCTGTTGTCCTTGTTTCGGGGGGCTTGCCTCCAAAAACACCACCGAAAACCAAAAAACAAAAAGAGTGCCAAGGATAACCGGAGGGATTGAGGTGAGGTGGGCGCCACGTCCTCCCCCGCCACTGTGGGTCTCTCTCTCGCGCCCGCGGATCCGCGCGATCCCTCGGATCGATCCCTCGGTCTGGGGCGTGGGGCCAGGGTGGGCAGCGACAGGCCGGCGGCCAGCAGCTCCCAGGGGCTCCGCACGTGCGCGAAGCCCTGGCAGCTCAGCAGGCAGCTCCCGGCCGCCTCAGTGACTCAGGCCCGCGAAGCGCAGCGAAGCGAAGGGGGGGGCGGGCCTTTGGTGCCGCAAGGAACCAAGAAACCAACCGGACCAACCGGACCAAACGGACCAAACGGACCAACTGGATCAACCAAACGAACAAACAAACAAACAAACAAGCAAACAAGCAACCAACCAAGCAAGCAAGTAAGC